AGAATGGTTCTGAATGGTTAAGAATGGTTAAGAATGGTTCTGAATGGTTAACAATGGTTAAGAATGGTTCTGAATGGTTCTGAATGGTTAAGAATGGTTCTGAATGGTTAAGAATGGTTAAGAATGGTTCAGAATGGTTCTGAATGGTTAAGAATGGTTCTGAATGGTTAAGAATGCTTAAGAATGGTTCTGAATGGTTAAGAATGGTTCTGAATGGTTAAGAATGGTTCTGAATGGTTAAGAATGGTCCTGAATGGTTAGGAATGGTTAAGAATGGCTAAGAATGTTCATGGATATTGGATCATGGAGGATTTTCATGGATATTAATGGATGATTTTGCTGCTCCATCGTTGATGGATGATTTTCCCAGATCGCCTCCCTTTTTTTGGAAAATTTCCATGGATCCTAATGGTTAATGTTGGGTGAATGTTGGGTGAATGTTGGGTGAATGTTGGGTGAATGTGATGGTAAATAATGGTAACAATTGGATATATACACAATTAAGACTATTGGATAGTAATATGGCATATATGGGATCCACATGATCCACCCAATGCCAAAAAACACCATCCCTTTTTGTCAGCATGGCTCACCATGGGTGGGATTGAAGCCATCCCCAGTCGTCACCATTGGTTTCAATACCAAGTCATGGTCGAAACCATGACGACTGGATGATGCAAGGGTGTACCCCCATAGGAAACCTCCACATGGGGATGCGGACAAAAATACGAACAAGCGCGCAGCTCGTAACTCAATTTGCCAGCTCCAAAACAAATTAGGAGAAGTTATGGCAGTTATGGCCTTTTCTTTCAGAGAATTCCACAAGTGGTTCATGTGGGAGACCTAAACATATATTCCGGTGAGATACTTTAAATACAATCCGATTGAACCAGCAACTCTCGCAGCGTTCGCTCGTGCAGATATGAGTCTGATATAGTCTGATCATGGACGGTCTGGTATTCCAAGTGGGATGCGGGGCAATTGATATTACAGACATGTCCTGTACTGTGATTTGCCTGAATAAACCGGAATAAGCTCTTGGACTCTGCGTTGATTCCATGCTTGTGTCGATGCTAAAACCAAATCTTCGGTATGGGTTCTTTGTAGCTCCGCGTGCAGTTGTCCCCGGGCAATTATAATCAAAATCACCAAACCACATTCAGATCTTTGACATAGCCGTAGGATGATCTCAAGTTAGTCCCTCCGACTACTAGGTGGGTTTGCCTGAAAATAGGGTACCCCAAAATTCTAATCAAATTTGACTATGAGCAGAGGCACCTTGGTGATGATTTGCAGATGCGCTGCAAAGCCTAAGTGGATGTCGGCCACACCATGAAACAAGTTCGGTTTGTATGAATTACGTATCAATGGAAAATCCTCATGACTAGATGAGTTATGTATATGTACATGGGTTATGAACATTTCTAAACCAGTATATAAAGCTATAATATCATCTAATATCTAATCTCTCTATATATATATGGGTTGTGAACAAACACATATAATCATATATATACTGTGTATATATATATATATGGACTACCATCCATTTCATGGTCCAGTGAATTTTCACCTCCTGGGTCAGTTTATGCCTCGGACCCTGGAGCCAAAGCACCACCAGAGCAGTTGATGATTCGCTTCGTTCGCCCCTTTATATAATGATGAACTCATTGTGTACATATACTATAATTAATATGTTTGTAATATATATATATGTTATATCAACATTATTTATATAAAATTTATTAACTTTATATATTCAAAACTATAATTGAAGTTAAACATCTATTAATCGTTAATTATATTATATCACATTTTTCATGAACAAATAGAATATATATATATTTATAAATATATCCCACCATGATCCATTTCCGGCCGTCATGTTCGCCAGGTCGCTTGGCATTCCACACATCCTGCAGCAGATGCACCTCAAAGGCACCAACTCTGCTGGCCGTGCCGTTGGCGTGCGACACGTTGGATGCCAGTGCCCCGCTGGTGCGCTCGCGCTCGCTGAACTTGTCGTACAGACCTCAGGATGGAATCTCTGAAAAAACATGGAGATGAGTCCAACTGATTCCAATGAATTTCATAGAATCTTTGAAGTGATGTCTACCCTGGACATAAATATAGTAAGACATCCTAGTGAAAACAGTGCCGGCACCGGATTCTACCCAAGATATTGGAAGTATATCGCTATGATATGGGCATACTATGATTTTTTGAGAAGTGAAAACATTCCAACCATTCGAACAATGAAGCAGACATGTCACCATTCATTTGTTTACCATGTTCAAAGTTTAATTCATTTGCAGTATTGTTGTAAACCCAATATTAAACATCACCAGTCACCAGAAATGGATTGTATAAATCCTCCAAAATTGGAGGTGTATTATGTTTACGATTTTGTTTACCACATTCAAAAACCCCAAGTCTGCCAATAACTAGTGCGACCCGCCTTTCTTCACGTTCACCGGCTCCTCAATCGTCAGCACCCTAAAGGGCTCACCATTGGACAGTCGTCCGGCCATGAGATCCACCAGTTCAGAGGCCATGGAGATGTACTTGCGACCGTTGTCGTGGGCTGGGAGGTAGGAACTGCTGCTCCAAAGCATCTCGATCACCAAAGCGCCTCTACCTTTGCATCCGAGACTCAGTCATGATCATTCTGGAGATAATGGAATTGTCGAGAACATCCTCACTAGACATGGGAACATGATTGAAAAAAAAACATATTCTATCTACTCCAGTATATTTATCTATATATGATTATATTATATATATACACACTATATATATACACTATATGTATATACAGTACATTATATTATATTATATTATATATTGTATTATATCATATTTTATCAAATTATATTATATTATATTATATCATATATATTATATGATATATGATATATTATATATATTATATATTATATATATATTATATATATTATATATATTATATATTATATATATTATATATATATTATATATTATATATATTATATATATTATATATATTATATATATTATATATATCATATATATATATTATATATATTATATATATTATATATATCATATATAATATATATAATATATATGATATATATAATATATATAATATATATGATATATATGATATATATAATATATAATATATATAATATATATAATATATATAATATATATAATATATATAAATTATATAAATTATATATATTATATATATTATATATATTATATATATTATATATATTATATATATTATATATATCATATATATTATATATATTATATATATTATATATATTATATATATTATATATATTATATATATTATATATATAATATATATAATATATAATATATATATTATATATAATATATATTATATATATTATATATTATATATATTATATATATTATATATATAATATATATAATATATATATTATATATTATATATTATAAATAATATATCATAAATAATATATCATATATATATATTATATATTATATATATTATATATATTATATATATTATATATATTATATATATCAAATATATTATATTTAATATATGATATATGATAAATAATATATGATATATTAAATATAATATATATGATATATTATATATAATATATAATATAATATATGTTATATACTATATATCATACATTATACATTATATATTCAATATTCTATAAAATATATTATATATTATAAATTATATATTATATATTATATACTATATACTATATATCATACATTATACATTATATATTCCTTATATATTATACATTATATATTATAGATTATATATTATACATTATATACTATATATCATACATTATACATTATATATTATATATTCTATATCATATATTATATATTATATACTATATACTATATATCATACATTATACATAATATATTATATACTGTATATTATAAATTATATATTATATATTATATAAAATATATAATATATAATATATTATATATGAAATCAATGTCAGGGTGTGTGTATATACGTGCCAGGGTCATCCATCCCAGAATGGGAATCCTTGATATATCCCTATTGATCGATGATGTTGAAACTCTGCGCCCCTGCTGGATCCTTCTGGGAGCCCAACAAGTGCCCCAAGGTCTTGCAGCTTTCACATGCTTTCACTATCCCAGATGCTCCATGTATGCAATATTTACCTACATTTACCCAGAAATGGCACACATGTAGGTAAATGTGCCATACATGGAGCATCTTGGTATGTTTCACTTCTACAACTGGTGATCCTTGTAATTTTTTGACAGGCAACATTTGCTCTGAAGATTGTGAAGGAATGAAACCTTTGAAACATATATTGAAGCCATCTCCCAACACGCGAGGTGACTGTTCCAACATTTTTTATTGATCTGCATTTCCCAAAAGTGCTCAGAGGAAGCCCCTGTAGGATCTGGGGTTTCTAATTTCTAACCCCCTTATATTTCAACGTGTTTCAACCATCAGTTTTCCCTTGTAACCGAGGTGCTGCCCGCCGTGCTTTTCACCTTTTCCCGTACTTCCGCTGGGACAATCTCCAGCAACTGTTGATTGCTGGGCTCTGCTTGAGTTTGCAGTGAACCTGACCGACTTGCGCAGCGACAACCAGCGCTGAAAGCTCTTTTTAAGTGGGGGATTTTTTTGAGGATTTAAGCATCAACCTTTGGGGATTCTGTAGGATTTCATGGGATTTATCTAAATTGGAGATTTGACAAGGGACAAACATTGGGTATATAGCCACATGGCCAGGGAAGATGATGATCCATAATCAAAGTTCCAGGTTTTCGAACATGTGGGAGGACCGCAAGTAGCAAACACTAATCAAACACTGGGGTCTAGTGGGCTGAAAAAAACATGGTGGTTGAGTGGTTTCCCATTTTTTCGGAAATGCCCACATCGAAAAGTCCGGAATCCTACCACCAATTGAGTGATTTGGTCGATGTTTTGCCAATATATGGGGGGTTCCATCAATAGGGGTACCCCAATAGCTGGATGATTGATTGTATGGCAAATCCGAAAATAAAGTTGATGATTTTAAGGGGCACCCCCATGACTTCGAAAACCCACTAATATGGAGTAATTAAATAATATATATATATATATTATATTGTATTTCAGTGTTTCACCCATTTATGGCCAAAAGAATCTCTCTTGACCAAACAAACTTATGGACCAAGGAACTTTCCGCTCGTCGGGCGCTTGCCGGTCGCCGCTTCACAGTGCCCCAAAACGGCTCGTCCGGGGCAAAGCGGTCTGTTGTCTCAAATCCTTCGGCCGTGGGGCGAAAACAGCCATGGATAGTGGGCTGGTTTGCAATGGGACCCCCCAAAAAAGAAAAGATGGTAACTGAAAAAGAACCTGACATTTTGACATTGATTTCCATGGAAGCTGTTTGATAACTTGAACTGGGGGATCAAAAAGACTCATAATGGACGTTTATTGAACTATATAATTACTTTTGATTTGAATCCTGCAATTTTGAGGTCAATGAATTAAACATAATTAAACCATAGGCACATCACAGCAAAATCCTGGGCCAAGTCAGCAACTTCCATGCAACCCTTGGGTCGAGGCGCTCAAGCCACGGTGGTTCCGAACATAGCGGGGCCGAGGGGCCTTTGGAGAGGCAAAAATGTCCTTTCCGCCAGCGCCGCATGGTTTCCAGGGGAGGGAAGGGCTTGAACATCACCCAGTGCTTCAAAGAGCATCTCCCTTAGTAACTGCTTACCCTTTGGTAATTTAACAGTTCGCTATTAAAAATGGTCATCATTGGTCATCTATAGTTGATGTACCCATTAAAAAAAATTACTTTCCATCGTTTTTTGTAGGTTTACCAAAGGGTCATACCCTGGTTACATAGGGCCCCCCAAGCAGAGGAATTATCCTCCAGGGGGGATCGTCTCGCTGCTTGGATGCAACATGCAACTAATGGTTGGTGGTGCAATAACCATCTTGAAAAATATGAAATATATTATGGAAAATAAAGAAATGTTTGAAACCACCAACCAGTACAGTTTTCAGTTTAGGTTATTGCGAGAGGTTCAGAAATGTGAAACAGTGAAACCAATCGAATCCATTACTGTATGGTTTTTCCATGGCTGGGCAACGATGATTCATTATGCTTCACACAGCTGATTCCTACAATGGGAATGCATACCTGGATGGAGGTGCTTTAATTCATGGCGGGCCATAGTATAACATAGTGTAACATCCCTCATCACACTTTTGTTGCTAGTGAAGTCAAAATAAATCTACCAAAGAATAAACCACAGTCACCTGAAATAACTGATAGCTTGCTGACAAGTCTTGTAGATCCTTCATCAACTGCTGGACACCAGCTTAAATGAGCAGCTTCACTAACCTCAGTTGGTGAAGTTCATAACCCACTATATGGGAAGCCCCATGAAAACCAAGCAAGATTTTGCGGACTTGTCCCACTATATCCCATTCCATCTCATTCTACCCTCTGGTAATTTAACAGTTCGCTATTGAAAATGGCCCGTTTATAGTTGATTTACCTATTAAAGATGGTGATTTCCATAGTTTTTCGTATGTTTACCAGAGGGTAAATCTCATTGAAAAAAAAGCCATCTACTTCCCATGTTTTTTTAATTTTCCATTGCAAGGTGGGAGCCTCCCAGTTATGACGTTGGTTTATCACCCCAGTTAGAAAACTATCGCGGTATCACCCCCATGGTTAATAGTGGTTAATGGATGGTGAATAATGGATAATAATGGTTATAATCATGGTAAATGATGGTTACCCTCTGGTAAACGTTTACAGTTGGCGAACTGGAAAATCACCATCTTTCAGTTCGGTAAAGCAACGAACTTCTTTCTATGGCCATTGCCGCGAACTGTGACAGTCATTACCAGAGGGTCTCCCCCAGCCAAGAGTTACGCGACAGACAGGGTTGAGTGAGTTCCACCGAAATCCCATCTGGTTGGTGGTTTTTCGCCCTACCCCTCTGAAAAATGATGGACGAATCGTCAGTTGGGATATGTTGGGATGATTTTCCATTCCCAACTGAAATGGGACAATAAAATTCCATGGTTTGAAACCACCACCAACCAGCCAAAAACTGGTTGGTTGGTGGGATTCACAATGATTGTGATCCCCAACCAGCTGGGTTTCCCAAGGGAAATCCCCCAGCAATCCACAATGGTTTTTGTGGCTGATGGCTCTAGTGTTTCCGAAGTCAGACGTGGCTACCCCCAGTTCTCATCCATGTGATTTTTAGATATTTTCGGATTTTCCATACAATCAACCCTCCAGCGATCTATTGGGGTACCCCTATAGGAAACCTCCAGCTATGACCATTTCATTGAATCCCCACTCCCCATTCAACTACCATGAAATCGTATTAAGCCATGGGTAAAATAACCTTTTCATTGTTGCAGTTCAGGCACGGGACTTCCCGGACTGCTCGGCCGGCTTCCACTTCTGGTGCTGTTGCTGCCGGCACTCGCAGGCCTTGCGCCACCAGGCCTGTTGCGATGGAGCAACTAGACGTGGGGAGTTCACCATCAAATGCCATGGGGAAGGGGATATAACATGATATAACAGTAACATGATTCAAGCCATCAACGGATCGATTGAGGGGAAAATCATGGAAACATCTCGATGCCATGGAATGCCATGGAGCAACCAACGGCCTTTGTTCGAAATGGAAATCAGTTTTAGTTCGGAATTTTCCACAGAGTTTTCAGCTCCAAGATCATCCCAGCAGGATCCAGGGGGACCTTTACTGTACCGTCCAGGAGTGGATGCTCCTGTCCTAATGGTGATCATGATCCAAAAAAGTCACCAGTCATCAAGAGAATCGGTGAAATTCTGTGAAACACCAACTAAATGCAACGACCAAGTCTTAAGTAACTCAGATGTGAAGTCTTTGCCCACCATGCTGAACACCAACTGAACGCAGGATTTATATAAAATCATAGGTCCGAACATGAAAACCGGAAAATCATGCATTTCCTATGCGATTCACAAAAAGGCACGACTTTTGAAAATCAAGTGCTCCCAAGCTATTTTCAACGATTCCCACTAATCTAGGCACGACTTTAGCAACTCCCTGTATGGCATCCTATGGCTGTTTTCTTATGGAATTGGCTACGGATCTGGGGTGCGTGTTCCGCGTATTTTCGCGTTCAATCCTGGGATGCTGAGTACTCCAAACGCTGGGCATCACCAGCGTTGAGTGCTTATTTATAGAGTTAGCGGAAATGCGTTTTGAAAACCACTGATCCACAATATCAACATATATCAACATACATGTTCGGGTCCTGGGTTCTACCGGATGGGTTGAGAACACAGATCTCCCACTTTTTGTTGATCCACGTTGCTTCACGGGTTATCCCAAAGTTTCTCCAATTGGGTCAGCCTGAAAAGGGGAGATACCTGAAATAAATTGAAAAACATCTGGTTGGTGGTTTCAACCTACCAACCCCTCTAAAAAATCATGGTTAATGATGATGGTTAATGATGATTAATCATCTGGTTGGTGGTATACCTATCAACCTACCATTGTGGTTAATATACTATTTTCATAATGGTTAATGATGATGGTTAATGATGGTTAATAATCATCGGGTTGGTGGTTGAGCCCCACCCCTCTGAAAAATATGAGTTCGTCAGTTGGGATGATGACATTCCCAATATATTAGGAAAAATAATCCAAATGTTCCAAACCACCAATCAGTAACAATCTCATTGGGGAAATCTAGGCTTAGGATAACCACCAAATTTGGGGTAGCCTAGTTTCAGAGAAACGCAACTTTCTCCAACACTCCAACACTCCAGTTCCGACCTGGGACAAATGCCATACCCAGTCGGCCCTCGACTCGCAGGTGGTCTAAAGATTTTCACCGGAGAGCCCATTGGCCGCTCCGGATTTCTTCGAGGCTAACGGCTGAACCACGAGCACCCCTCGGTATCCCGTTGTAAAGATTCGTAAAGTGTTGGCAACTCAGACTCCAGCCATGGTCAGAGTCATTCAGAGTCCTCCATTCTTAGAGTGATCTTGACATGGCGACATGGACACCCTCCAGCCTCTTTAGCCTCTAAGGCGGCGGCCACCTCAAACAGATGGAGTCTATGGGTCGGAATTTCCTCCAGGGGAAGTTCCATATGCTCATCCCAATCAGATCTGTATTATCCATAGGCTTCCCAGTCAAATGATTATCCATTTTATCTGTAAAAAAATGTATCTATCTGGATCATTCTCGAATTGAGTCCAGGCTGCATCGTCAGCTGCTTCAGTGATTAAGGTGACTTCAGTCCTTCAGATGCACCTGTTTTGATACCCCCTCGCACATCAGCCTCACATCAAACCACCCACTGGACCTTAGATGGCTATGTCCAAAAAAAACAACCGATTTTCTCCCAAACCCTTTTTGATTTCCCGCCAAAAGTGGCGATGTAGCAGTAGACCCAGCGCAGTTCTAAGGTCGCGGCGGGGGAAAGACCTGCGCGAAGCTCCATAAAGCACTCAGGCTTCTCTGAGAAGTGGCTGGAATCCTGGTCTCAACGGTCCATCGCAAAAAAAAAAACGTGGCACCCTGGAGACCACCTTTTTTCGTTGGTGGTGAGAAAGTGATTTGGTTCTGATGTTTCTGACCTGATGGTTCTGGTGCTGGCTTGAAAGGGATGCAAGATACAAATGGTTCAGGAAAGGAGATGTATTGCGCATAGTCAATTGACGAGATGCTTTATAGTATAGATATACTGAAGAGATTCAAGCCACAGAATCCCTAAAATCTAGGAAACTCCCAAAATTCTAATTTAAAACAATGCATGTTCCTTATTACTTTCTTTTAAACAAATGCATTTTGAAAAGCTCACAAAGGGTACCCATTTAGGTGGGTTTCCCCCTCTAAATAATGTGCATGCGCACTCCGACTTTAAAAAAAAACACCGAGCCCCCTGGCCATAAATTTAGTTTAAAAGGACAATCAATTGAACGTAATCTGATTTCAATTAAATCCTTTCTTGTCCTTTAGATTTAAAAAGAAGATCAATTGAAAGTAATTTGATTGAACATTTCAATTGAAATTCTTACTGAAAATCTCATGAATTCCATTTTTAGTTTGCTCTTTTTTTTTGGGGGGGGTGACAACCTTCTCATGGATCTCGATGCAGCCACCCATTGCCCCACCTGGCTGCACTGAACGATGGTGGAGCTCCCCCCTTCAAAGAGAGCGGGGATGAAGGCAGCACCGCCACCTGGCGAAACAATGGCCATTGAAACAACGGGGACCAATTTCATAACATGACTAACCATCCAAAAATTAGGCACACCATGGGGCAACCCAAAATTCTGGCCCGACAAATCGCTTTCATGTATGCTTTCATCCAAGTTTCGGGCCCCCGATTTTTCCAGATAAACTCACGGTTGACACTGTTGGGTCAACAGGCCTAGCAGACCTGCCGTGGTTTCTTGGAGACGTGCTTTGTTAGCGCTAGCCAATGTGGGATCCACCCGGTATGCCATCACCTATTTTTACCATCCCCAAATGATAGGTATCTGATAGGTTCATGGTAGCCAGGGTTTCCCACCTTCTTTTGGGGCCACCAAGGGCCATCGATCGGATTTGCTCATTTGGCTTAACCCTCAAAGAAGTGTATCTTGTTTCACTGAACCGTCCTAGTTGCGGCGTTTTTTTGACAAAAAAACAAGATGGGTCTTCCGTGGTTTTTTGTTCCGCACTTTTTCACCACTGAAGCCGTTATTCAACCAACACTCGCCAGTCAATTGACATCCCCAATCGTAGAGATGGTTGATAATCCCTTCTAAATTGATGTTTAGATTCGCGCAAAAAAAAAAATCAAGAAACATATAATTAACATAAACCCTGAGGCATAGTCGCCATATTTTTACCAAATCCAGAAACCAACAATTTAAGAGCATTAAACCATCAAACCCATTACCCTCCAGTAAATTAACATAGACCCTGGTAGATAGGGGTTGGAAGATTAGTTTCCTCTAAAAAATGGTGATTTTCAGGGTCCAACTGTTTATTTACCAGAGGGTAAAACAAGATCAACAACCACCATATTATATCTGAGAACGCCCAAAAAAACGGCGTTTTTTCGAGGCTCCCAACTGGCACTGAGTTCACGTTGGAGCCAGTCCAGCAGCAAGGCACTGAACTCTGTGGCGTCAGCCTGGCGGGCAATGGGGAAGCTCACGCTAGGGGGAAAATCATGGGAATATAGAGGGAATATCATGGAACTATCATGGGAATAATTATTATGGAACCATTATGAAAACTGATTCAATGGATTGGTTTAAGGGAAAATTAAAACTGGAAAGCCCCATATTTAATAGGACAATCTATGGTTTCCGGTTAATCATTTCCCTTAATGGACTGGTGCCTCGAAATTCTCCCTTAAAAACTATATAAGCCATTGAATCATGGGAACAGAGAAACATAAAAATAAGAATGGATGAATCAACATGAACCTATAAAATCATATAAAGATATTCTGATCATCCTGAAGTACATGCCCATACTCGCTACAATGTTGGTTATATCCATATGACATCCCACAAAATATCATTATATTCTGGCGGATTTTCAGTAGTTCACCAATCTGAAAATAGCTGTTATCATATAGACAATCATCCCAAAATAATGTATGAATGGAAATTTTGGATCAACAAAAACAATGGGAACATAGAAATAATGGGCAAATATTATGAAAATATATAGATATAAATCATATCATATTCTACATAGAAATCATGGGAATATAGAAATCATCATCCTGAAAAAGGGTTAAAGGGACGACTATATTATGATATGCATATGTATACATATATATATATATGTAACCTTAATATCTTCATGGCTGAATTACAAATAGTTCACTACCCGAAAACAGCTCACATGTTGGGCCATTTGGGGATGATTCCACGTACTCATCATCATTCCAATGACGTGAAAGGATATAGAGTACGGGATTTTCAAAAACATTCCCAGTTCAGTGAGGGGTTTGGACATGTCCATATTCTATCTACTCCAGAATGACTATATGTATAATACGTATAAACAACTGGCGCGTATCGCCGTCGCAACGAGAGGGGATGATGCGATCTGCCACTAAAGTGGGGATATGATGGGCTTTTTGCTGAAACGAATGCAAAGAAATCATGGAGTAATTTCTATTTATATTTATATATATTATCTAGTTGAAATATGAGCACAACATATTGCATACCATGGAAACATTGAGCTTTACGCCAATGAAGTATGGGATATCATTGGATGCCATAGAAATCTGCCGGGAAACAACCGATTAGCCAGGAGTTGTGAAGTGAGCCAGGATCCACAATACAAAGATCTCCGTGCGTCATCACGTATATGTGTTAGTGATATATCCACATTTTTCCACAGATCTTCCATTCTCGTAAGTGTTCCACAGATGCAACTGAACATGTTCCAACACTATCCAAAACTCTTCCATAGATGTTCCATTCGAATTGGGATACAATGGGGACATACTGTAATGAGATGTAATGAGTATATCATCAGGATGTAATGGATATGTTCAACCATTCCTGGGAAGAACATGGAATCAACATCTATAAACAAAAAAACAAAACATGAAAACAAAAAAATAAACACATCATAACACATCCATATGTCTAGACATTTTCCCCAGAGTTTTTTGGGGAATTTTGCACCGAACCATCGAGGCGTTGCGGCGTTGCGGCGTTATCAGGTCCTGCTCCAACGCGTCCACACGAGCTGCAGTGATGAAGTCCTCGAGCTTGGTTACCCTCTGGTTATGTCAAGAGTTTGCTACTGAAAATGGCCATATTTATAGTGGATTTTCCCATTGAAAATGATGATGTTCCATAGTTTTTTGTATGTTTACCAGAGGCGAATCATTGTCTGGACATAATAATGGTTAATCATATGGATAATAATGGTTAAATTTGCTCTGTTAATCATTGAGAATTGTTAATCATGGTTGATTATATAGTCAACTATATGGCTAAACATATGGTACATAATGGTGATTCATGATGGATAATGGTTATTGGTGATGGTGATTCATGGTGATACCCTCCTGTAAACTGACATAGATGTGGAAAACAACACCATTTGTAGATCATGTTCGTGTATTGGGTGATCATCCCCAAGTAGTGACCGCTAATCCTCAGTGGCATGAGGGTGATCATCCACAACTAGGCAAAAAACCATCCACTAATCCTGATAATCCTCAGTTCCATGGATGGAACATGCGCTTTGCTTCGATGATTATCGCTAGAAAACCTCCATTTCTGGGGCATTTCCTCGCCATTTTTGGCGCACGGAGGATCATCATCCACGGATCGCTGAAAAGTGGTGATGATAAAGGTAACGCCGGTGATCGGATTCGTCCCCGAATCCGATCCGAGTCGTGGTTTAGTCCATGTATGTATGTATGTATGTATGTATGTATGTATGTATATATACACATATTATTTAACTATATATAACATCATCATATTATATATTATATATTGTATATTGTATTATATTATACTATACGATACTATACTATACATTACATTACATTACATTACATAACATTACATTACATACCATACCATACCATACATACATCAATCATACATTACATACATATTATTGTTATTATTATTATTAATAATATGTTTTTTATTATTACTATTATTACTATATATGTATATAATGATATATTTTATATATATACTATAGCGACTATAGCTATATATATATATATATATATGGCAGAAGTATGGGAACTCACTGGTCCATCCAGTCGCACCTTGGGATCCACCACCAGAGACTCTGCCTCCGCCAGCAGGGCAAAGACCTGCGCTCTTAGCGCGCTCTTAGGATCGATCCATGGCGGTTTCGTAAGGGAATCTCTATGGACAAGAAGCTAACTTCTACCCTCCAGTAAATTAACATAGACCCTGGCAGATAGGAACAGATAGGAATTGGAAGAAACATGTTTCCTCTAACAATTGGTGATTTTCAGGGTCCAACTGTTTATTTACCAGAGGGTAATTGATGTTAATTGATGAACATGTATTTGATTGTTTTTGTTTTCCATTTTTTTTCCGATGGATTTGTTTGATGAATCTATGATTGTAGGAATACCATTGTTTTAAATTGATCATGGATCAATTCTATAAATGTCATGGGTGTTTATTTGGTCTATAGCAACCCCCTAAATTTGGAAGAAACATTGGACACCAGGAACCTATGGAGGAAACATCACATTGATTATATACAATCCTGAAAACTCTGTTTGGCATCTTTTTTGGGGATTGCTGCAAGGGAATCTATGGTTCTAATAATGATATGATAGTTTTTTTTTAATAAATGGGTCGACTCTATACAGCAAAAATGGGCGTTTTTCCAGCTATGGTACTGATATAATATATCACTGATGTATATTCATGGGAGAATTGACCATGCTGTACCAATGGATTGGTTTCAGGGATGTTGGTGTGGGAAAATCTATAGGAAAGCAGGGGAAGAATGTTCTGAATTGGTTTGGTTTTATCGGTATATGTTCTCCTGAACCAATTCTGGGAATGGTGCAGAGAAAAACAGTGGCTTCCCCAAATTTGATGATTTCATGGTGGTATAATCACCAATATTGGGGATATTGGAGCTCCCAATCGGGATCCGGATCGGGATCCCCTTTGTGTCATATACTTCCCTTAGAACTGCTATGATCAGCCACTGGCTATCAGGGTCAGGGTCATGTTTCAAGTTGGCATTGTTCCACTCTTCGGATATCCAGAATAGTCACAGTACCTCATAATGTCCAACTTGTCGGCTGACCTTTGCTGTTCAGGAGTAAAACCTTGTACTGGAAATCCCTAAATTGTTTACAATTCTGCATTTGTAGATTTTGTAGATTCATTTCCCACGGTAGATCACTCAGTATATCCAGCCCAGGATGGATTTGTTCCTGTTTGATTCCCAGAGAGTATATACTACCTTGTACTATCTCTATACAGAAAGAGGGCAAATGTGGGATTTTTGTGGATAATGATCATCAAACCAAGAGGGTATACCCCAAACATGTAGATGAATCATATATCATCTTCTTCCAATCATATTTCTACCGTTGTCTACCCATTCAAAGATGAGTTTCTCTGAAAATTAAGGGGACAAACCCAAAATCACATCTAGAAATGAAACGTGAATGTACTGGTGAAGCTACTGCTTCACTATCATTGTCCCAGATGTTTTCTCATATTCTCCCATGTTGTCCCATCATTTTCCGATGGTTTTCCCATCATGTTCCTATGATTTTCCATATGTTCCCATCATTTTCCTATGTTTTTCCATATGTTCCCATCATTTTCCTATGTTTTTCCATATGTTCCCATCATTTTCCTATGTTTTTCCATATGTTCCCATCATTTTCCTATGTTTTTCCATATGTTCCCATCATTTTCCATTGTTTTACCTAGGAAAACTGCCATCAATGGCTCAACTTGCCTCCTGCAGCGTCGCCACCACGTTGCTCTCAGACGGAGCCCTGGCCCCGACGCCAATGGAGATGCAGAAAAGGGGGGAAAACATGAACAAAAAGCTGCTTTCCTATGGAAAAAAATGGAAAAAACTATGGAAAAAGACGGAAACAACTATGGAAGACAAATGAAAAACATGAAAAACTATGGAAACAAATGGAAACAACTATGGAACACAAAGAAAAAACTGTGAACAAAATGGAACAAACTATGGACAAAAAATGGAAAAAACGATGAAAAAACTGGAAAACCTATGGAGAAACATGGAAACAACTATAAAACAAAAATGGAACAAAACATGGAAAAAAAAACACTATGGAAAAAGATGGTAATAACTATGGACCACAAATGGAGAAACTATGGGAAAAGATTGCAATAACTATGGAGAAAATATGGATGGAAACAACTATGGTCAAAAAAAGGAAAACACAAAAAAAATAGAAATAAGTATGGAACACAAATAACAAATCTATGCAGAAAAAACGGAAACAACTATGGAACACACATGAAAAAAATGGAGAAAAGATGGAAACAACTATGGACAAAAAACGAAAAACTATGGCAAACAAATGGAACAACTATGGAACACAAATGAATAAACTATATGGACAAAAAATGGACAAACTATGGAAAAAACAACGGAGACAACTATGGGAAATACGATGGAAACAACTGTGGAAAAATATGGACACAACTATGGCAAACATATGGAAACAACTATGGAAAAATAATGGACAAACTGTGGAAACATATTGAAAACTATGGAACAGAACGGAAACAACATGAAACAACTATGGAAAAATGGAAACAACTATGAAAAAATGGAAACAACCATGGAAAAGAAGATGGACACACTATGAAACACATGGAAAAACTAGGGAAACAATGGATGAACACACACACTCACACATGGGAATACCTTCAGAAGATGGAAGCACACGATGAACAACACATGGTAATTCTGATGAATACCTCGCAAAGTACGCTGCATACGAGGACATTCAAAAAAAAACATGTGAACATGGTGTATATCCTCTGGCAATCAAACATGGCAATGGGAAATCCACCAAAAATGGAGGTGTCAATGGGGAAAATCATCGAACCACATGAGGGATTTTCCAGCTAGCCATGTTTGATTATCAGAGGGTAGATAATGAGAGTCTGGGGTACCCATATGTCGCACATGAACCTTGAGACTGGAATGTTCCTCATTTTTTTTGCGGGAGATGATGCCGAATCAAATCATACCAAACAGATGTTTGGAACTTTTGTACCACTTGTACCAGCCTTTACAAACATTGTAAAAAAACGCGATCAAAGGTGGCACGGCAATCCCGCAGTTCCAGCGACACAATTTGCACTGTTTTCGAAGACCTCAAGAAACTGTAGCGGAAGTCCAAGTTAAAGAACCTCAAGGTTGGGACAGTGGGTATACCCGAGATTGAGGCTTCAATGTGCCAGGAACCAGCAAAAATAATTTTGTTCTAATCAAAATATCACAGGCATTGGTATGTTTCTCAAATGTTTCCCACACGTTCCGGCACGTCCAGACCTGCTTACTATGCAACTGCTCCAAGCAACAGGTACTGCAACAGGCTGTTGAGATAGCAGGTCGCGCCCAAATTCCTGTTGCAACAGCTGGAGGGTGGTGGTGATGGCACGGGTGCGAAGTGGACCATAGAAGTCCACCATGTTTGGAAAATGTTTACCTTTAAAAATGTGGACTCTTATGAAAGTCTTTGGAAAACTACACAGTAACGTGTTTTTGTCATCATTTTATATCATTTTCATCGTTATAAAAAACTGCTATTGTTAACGCACATTGTCAAACAAACACATACGAGTAGTATATATTGGCATGGGAATCTCCTGTCATATTCCACTCCCCTGTCATTGTTGGTGAAAAATGTGGTTTTTGGTCAAAGTTATCGTTTTTGGGAGTTCGCTATATTGTTTTGCAGTAAATCTTGGGTGCATCATTTGGTTCCCTTTGCAAAATTGATGGAGGAATGCTTTTTACACCTCCACTTCAGCATCTGCAGCGTCTTTGACTGCCTTGCGCTTTCTTTTGCAGCGCTCCAACGGCAATGCAACTGCAAATCACAGTTGCACAGTCCTGTCCCAAGCTCAGAAACAAGTTTTGAATTCAGTTTGTTGGAAGAAGTCCGGATGAGCTCTCACAGCGACATGCTCCAGGCCTTTCACTGGCCAGCGTCTGTGTAGCTAAGTCAAACAAACCATCGACATGGTCCAATGCCTTGGCTTTCCTCATCTAGCATTAAGATCGTCAAACCGCAGCTCTCTGACTGGTGACAGCTGTCCACGAAATCGGCCCACGTGTGCAACCCGGCCAAGTCAATGAGATCATCAGAAAATACCGAATGCTCACGGGCCCCGTGGACGTCTTTCTGACTCTCAGTGGCGTTGTCCGTACTTGGGAACTCATGAGTCATGAGCACCTGTTCTGATGGCAGTTTTACTCAATAAAGGGGACCTGTACAGATCTAAAAGATCGGAGCACCAGTTAAGTCATGACTGGAGGACGCCAGATCGGCAAGGGCGAGTCGGCTTCTTGGTATTCGATGTAGTGCTCACGCAAGGTAGGTACTCGCCGACTATATCAGGCAGTTCAAAAACAAATTCTGCGAAAGGATATTCTTCAACTCCGTGTTTCAAACAGGACTGCAGATAACTGTTTCCTACCTTTATTCCTTCATGGCACTTGTCGATAAGGTCATCAAAGGCCGATCTCCGGTAATCGGATTGTTCAGCCCTGTGGGCGCCAAAGTAGGCTTCCTGACCAAGTGTGTCATAGACAAGATCCGCAACGCTGAATGTTGAGTCCTTGGCTGCAATGCTATCAGGCACAAACTGCTCTCGGATTTCGGATGAATAATTGCAGATGTGGTGATCACATGCCTCGCCGTGAGATCGGCAGTCAAGGCAGTATGCATGTCCACAGCGGTGGCACCAGCACATGGCGTGCTCACATAGGCAATCAGCAATATTGCGGCAGTCCAATTTTCCTTCTGGTCTTGGGAGCCACTGAATGTTTGTAAAATTCTGGGCAAAATCGTCGTAGACCTTCCTGGCGGCATTAGCGTCTCGAAGCATGTCCTTAGCTCGCTGTAAGGTCTCCCTCTTTTTGTGTGGCTCCCGGACTTCTTGCTAGCTGCCACCAGTCCCAGACTTGCAGGTGCAGTTTTACGATCTGTGTGCCCGAGATGAACCGAGATGGACTAAAGCAATGGGGCGCTGCAAGAGAATATGCATAGTAGCGAAAAGATCGCAATAAGCAAGTGACAATATTGAAGGGCAAAGAATCATCCCAAGAATCTTTTCACATCTGGGCCATCCATCAGCGAGGGACATTTTGTCAAGAAATGCTCATCGTTTCGTTTTCGTTATCGTTCAAAGCAGGGTACATGTTTAGGAAAATGGCATGAACCAAAGAAAGTTGGAAAGGAGATCTGTTCTCATCGTCGCTGCTTGCATGAAAGCACGAAAATACAAAACGTTCATCCGGAGGGCTTGAGCGATGGCGAGACCAAAAGAGCATCCAAATCCAGCTAGTTACCACATAACAGTACGTGACTGTTATGCAAAAGCGTTTGCAATAATCAGAAATAAAGAAATTTGCCAGGATCAAGAGTGAGTGTCAGCATATTTTTGCACATCTTCCGTTGTGTGAGCTGGGCGTGACGTATACCCCACAACTGAGAGCCTAGATAATCTAGATGTTTCTAGAACAGGTATCCACCATCATGTCATGAATACCACCCCTTCACATCCCAGCATGCTTTCACATATGAACCAACTCCCATGTTATCGTTTCTGGGAGTTCACTACATCGTTTTACATATCAAAATGCATGTTTTTACATGAGAAGTTGCTCGAATACATACTTCCTACTCGGAGAGTTTAGCCTCTTTCTCACATGATCCCAAATGAATTTGCTCGCATAATTAGCTCCCACTTCCCTATCATTGTTGCTCTTGTATACCCCAAATTTGGTGAAACAACATTAGAGGAACTGCCCATTTCCATCCATTTCCTGCAGTTAAACGCCCTTTACCAGTTATAGATGGTCATAAATGGGGCTATCATTCCAAAAATAGGGCTTATAGCTGACTTATAACTGCTATTTCGGGCCATAACTCTGCCAATTTCGCCCGGTTTTGAAGCGCCGGAAGCCCCTCGGTCCTGAGCCCCGCTGGTCTCAAGAAACCCTGCTGTGTTCTGTGACGACAAGCGACAGCTGGATCCTGGCATTTGTTGAAAAGGCCCATGGCTTAAATATATATATATAAGATAACTATAATTATAGTTATCAATGGTATTATATATAATGAATTATATAACATATATATATATGTACAATTATAGTTATATAACAAGTACCATTGATAACTATAATTAGTGATAAATTAGAAATGGTACTTTACCATACTTTACCATTCTGATCAATTAACGTACGGTTTATCAAGTACTGTACCATTGATCACTGATCTGGGTAAATTATAACGACCTCACTGTTCTCCCTCACTGGAATCATGGTTAGGATTCGGGGAATCATCCCAAAATGGCCCAACATTTCAGGCAAAAAAAGCACAGCTGGAAGTCAGAAGGCAACGCAACACTTTTTAGAGGAACTTTGTGTGTCTAACGCAAGAAAGAGACGTTTCACAAAGAACATTTGCTTCCTAATATAGGAAGGAAAGCGAACAGTCTGCGGGTCACCCCTTGGGCTCAGGCAGGGGGGGGGCCCTTTTGTCAAAGGTAAACGGCCCAACATTTCAGGTTAGTGAATTACTATAATTTGCCTAGATATATATGGAGGTGTCCTAAAATAGGGATACCCCGTAAAATGGATGGTGTATAATGGAAAAACCTATTCAAATGGATGATTTGGGGGTACCCCCATTTTAGGACACCTTCATGTATGTAGAATATAGATGCATAAATTATGTAAAAATTATGTATGGGAATTATGTTCAATGTCCATTTACTACTTTTTTGTATGTCCTAGTTCTATACATATACATATACATACATACATACCATACATTACATTACATTACATTGCATTACATTACATTACATTACATATATAATCATATATATATATTGGTAATTAAATATATACATATTTCTTGGCTTGTCTGAAGAACTATAGAAGTCCTACGAAACATGGGATCTATCACGAAACCTCTCCATATGTTTGTGTTGAAAGGACACGCACTGCATTTTCAACACATCGCTTTCAGGTCTTTTCAAACTTCCGAAAGCCAATGACAAGAGAGTAAGGAGGATTCTGGACCAAGAGGGAAATGTGTGCCAACATGGCTACACACATGCGAACTGGACTAAGAATGCTGAGGCTGTCCCCACCAGAATCTGGATCGCCCCAAATCACAAAAGTTATGTCCGCCCGGATCTGAAAATATCAGGCCCAGGGTGTGGATCTCCGGGATGCCAAATGCAGCTGCCGAGACTCTGTGGCTATTTGCTGTGTTTGGTTTGGTAGCAAAATTTCGTGCGACTTTACATGACATTACGCTACATATTTCAGTTGATAATTGAAATGCGAAGCTTACAGTCTTACAGGTTGTTTTTCAGCTTAGTGGCAACCTCCAATGGCACCCTCCTGCCCCCCGATCAGCGCCTGCCCAAGAGCTTTGCTCAGTGCGATCTCTTTCTGCCAAACGCCTTGCTTGTCCTGACAAAATCGTCAATCAACAACTACGAAAGCTACGAAATGCGGTAAATCAAATAATAAAGCTGTTCATTAATTCAACTGATTCTACCATTCCATACATACCTATTTCTTGAACATGTTGATTCGAACAAATCTCATATCAGAAACGAGGCTTGTTACTTTGTTTTTGCCACATTTGGGCGATTTTATCCCGTAATGGATCCCGGTAGTGTTTACGCTTATACGCAAAAAACATGACAATTTTTGTACACCACCGCCTCCCTTTGTTCCAACTGGGGAAGGCTAGCAATTGCTATCTTGGGAAAATGTCTCAAATTCATCAAAATCAAACATCAACCATCTCAACTTTCAACATCTTCAAACGTAAAAGTATAACAGAATATAACAGATCAACATCATCATATATCAATGATGACATCATAATCTCAAAGTTAAGTCAAGTCTTTTAGCTTCGCTTCAGCAAAAAAAAGTTCCGCAGTGGGGTCATTGAGGTCGATCGCCAGGTATGGATTTGGAAAGCTACCTGTCGGAGCTGGAGCTGTGGTGCCTAAACCATGGGATTTTTCGCCTCGGACCATGGGAAAAAAAACCCTTAAACCATGGTGTTTTCCATGGGAACCTGGATTACCAAGCCTCCAGTAACTTAATATAACTATGGTTTTTGGATCCATTTGCAGATGACTTATTATCTATATTTTGTTGTAATTTCGAAGGGTATGCTCTTGATATCTTGATGCACTGCTTGCAGACTTAGCTATTAAACCTGGTGAGTCTTTTAATTTCAGGTGTTTATTTGTTCTTGTTATTCGTTGGGGGCGAGGGAGCCCCGTTTTCCTCTGCCCTTGGAAGAATCTGCAAAAAGTGAGATGGAAAGTAATTGACACAGCCAACAGCTGATTAGATGTGGTACCAAAGAAACATCTACAGTGGCCATCAGTATATATAAGTATGCCATCAGTGACCATACAGCCATAGAGTCGTACTAGTATGTAATGTAACTCCTTTACCAACTTCACTGATCCTTCCTGTAGGAGGCAAGAATTCAACGCAGCAAACCACGCGAAGCAGGAGGAAAACCATTCGAAAAGTGGAGTTCGATGGATCCGGCGGGGCCAAATTTTGGAACCATGATACACCTACAGATCCTGTCTTGTGTTGTTTCCGAAGTCATTTGTTGATATTTGTTTTTTTGTAATTATGTGATTTCTTGTGTTTTTAAACCAGCATTCCTGCAGTGCTCAGCCCTTTTTCTCGCGTCCAACACCTCCTCCCTGTCAAAACAGGAAGTTTTCAGTGTTGGTCAGGAGTCAACTTGGCGTTCATTTAGCCACCCTAAATGCGTTTTTGGCATTGGCGCCTTTGGCCTAATCTTTGACCCAATCTTGGGGGAGCTAGTTCTGAAATGCCAAATACACACTGGTTGCGAATTGGAGGTTACCTTCAGCTAACCTTCACCACTTGCGCTTTGCTTGGTGGGTGACAGGAACCAACTTTGTAAAGCCCGCACCACACAGAAAGTTGGCATCTCCGCATCTCCACACATAGCGGCAACGAGCAGATTTCAACCCCATTGGGTCCGGAAAATGACAACGGCGGTAGCTGGGTCAAACTGAAGAGCCCCATCTTGGACACCAACACTCCATTAAGACGCTCAGAAAATTTGATGGATCCAGTGTCTAAAAAACGTCTAAGGATAAACCCCACCAATCACTGACCATTAAAGGGAACCAATTTATTGGAGGTACCATATATTTTCCGGATGAGGTCTATGTAAGGGCAGGGGACCAGGGGATATAGCTCCAATATTTCAATGCCATTGAACCAATATATCCAGCAATATTTCAACATCTAGGGATCGTTCAGACCAAGCGCTGCTTTTCTTATCCTGGCTTCAGCAGAAATAGCAGGTCCGTAGGGGAGTTCCATGGAGGACCGCCTCTAATGGTCGTACGAAGCCTGCGTCAAATTCCTGGCATTTGATCTTGAAGTTGAAGTACCACCTGAGTCACAGATGTCACAGGAACCGGCTTTCCCATGGGGAAAACATGCTTAACTTTGAAGTCAGTATATGTATGATATGCAATATGTATATATCAGTTGTAAATATTGTATTTATAAATTTATATAACTAACTATGATGATAATATCACAATTTGCAGTGACCAATAGATTTCAATCTTCAGAAAATGAACGGTCGACTCCATGGGGCAGATATCACTCTGCACTCTCAGTCATAAGGTCATAAGATATCGAAGACATTCAAAGCCATTAAGTATTGGGGTTTCCTGATGTTTCCTGTAAATTTTCCCTTGAACCAATCCAAGGATACATGTGTACTATGATATTTGATTTCACTTCAATCGTGTACGGGTCCTCTCCCCTTAGTAGTGAAGATAAGTTTCTCAAAAAGGTGGGTAGCCCTAAATCATCAATCTTAAATAATCTTAATAGGATTTTCCATTATGAACCATCCAGCTATCGGGGTACCCCCATTTATGGAAACCCCACTAAGCAGCTGAAAGCACGGAATTCTGCAGCATCATAGGGAAGCGATGCTTTTGTCTACTTTCTCCGGTAAACCCAGTTGAAATATGTTGAAATTTTGAAATATCTTGAAATCTGGCAACGCCTTTCTAACGGTCACAATTCAAACATCATTAAACACAAGAAAACACCATATAGGAATCATATTGATCATAAAGCATCCTGAAACATCATAAAACAATCAAAAAACATCATACACATCTGAAAACGGATGGATCTGGGCCGTTGACATCCGTTGACCATCGATCGTATTCCATCCCAGGCCGAGTGGCGAAAAGCTGGAGATGTCTTCCTGTTTCATAAACCCAGAGAATGTTTCCTCCGCCGAGTCACCGTGGGGGAAAGCTGAAGCGTTCACAGCGTTGGCGCTCGGCGAAAGAACCAGTTTTTAAATTTTGGTGAATTGATTCGTGACACTTAGAACCATTATAACAGAATAGTTGATTCTTTGTAATATACATATAATATACATGGAATTTACAAGAAAACTATCGAAAAACATGACCGATTCAGATCCTAAATTGATCTGGAGCGACACACCCAAAGAATCAAGGGCCTGGGCAAATGATATGCGGTTGGTTATCATAGACAAACCTGAAAGCATGGCCGAGTTCAGTGGGCCTTATATAAAAGTCTTTAAATGGGACAATTCCTAGTATCTCACCATGCAATCTGCAACATGAACAGATCCAAGTTGATATGGGTCCCCCAAAACTTCCAGGGACTCCAAATGTGCCAACATCGAACCAAGAAGTGAGACAAGTCTCGTCGCCCGCAAAGAAGATAAAGCTGCCCAGCGATGGATGGGACTCGATTAGTTGGTCGACCTCCCCGGCACAGCGATCAGTGCAGCTATCAATGAAACCAGCTCTTGATGAAACACATCAAGAAACACCATATGATGACAAATCTGATGCACACAAATCAAATAATTACATATAATTTATATAGAATGTATAATTACATATGTAATCATGCATATAATTTGTATATGTTTCTTTATGCATACGTATTTTTTTTTGTTGATTGGTATATGTTTCTTGTTTTCCCCTGAGAATGTGTTATCCCCAGTCCAATGGATTATCATGTCCGCCAGGCAAAGGCCATTTGGAAGGTTAGGACACATAATTTCAGCGTGACTTGAAAGATCAATACTACTGTGGTTTAGTGTGGTTGATAATCATGTTTCCACTTATGGGGTATACTAGGTATACCAGTATGCCCCTATTTTTCAGGTAATCAAGAACACAACAAAAAGGTTGTACCCTCCAGCAATCAAACATTGCAATTTACAATAGATTATGTTCCCATTAAACAACCATTCAAGTTAGGCCTTTCAGTTGCCATGTTTGATTGCCTGAGGGGTTTTCTCAAACACGAGTTAAACCAGGTCACAAGAGGTTTGGCTTCGTCAGGAGAAAAATATGCGCGCATCAATTGAAGCTCGCAGCTCTCTTCTTTGTTGAGCTGCTGTAAAAGTCCATGTTGATACTTCCTGGCTCTGTGAAAATGACGCTTTAGCAATCAAACATGAGGATTTCACCATCAACAAAAGGGACATATTATATATACATACAAATAATGCATACAAATACATACACATACATATATTGTATGTATGTATGCATGCATGTATGTATGTTTGTATGTATGTTTGTATGTTTGTATGTTTGTACGTTTGTATGTATGTATGTATGTTTGTATGTTTGTATGTTCGTATGTTCGTATGTTCGTATGTGTGTATGTATGTATGTATGTATGTATGTATGTATGTATGTATGTATGTATGTATGTGTGTGTATGTATGTATGTATGTATGTATGTAATGCAATGCAATGCAATGCAATGCAAGGTAAGGTAATGTAATGCAATGCAATGTAATGCAATGCGATGCAATGCAATGTATTGTAATGCAATGCAATGTAATGCAATGCAATGTAACGTAATGCAATGTAATGTAATGCAATGTAATGCAATGTAATGTAATGCAATGTATTGTAATGCAATGCAATGCAATGTAATGTAATGCAATGTAACGTAATGCAATGTAATGTAATGTAATGCAATGTAATGCAATGTAATGTAATGCAATGTATTGTAATGCAATGCAATGTATTGTAATGCAATGCAATGCAATGTAATGCAATGTAACGTAATGCAATGTAATGTAACGTAATGCAATGTAATGTAATGTAATGCAATGTAATGCAATGTAATGTAATGCAATGTATTGTAATGCAATGCAATGCAATGTAATGCAATGTAACGTAATGCAATGTAATGTAATGTAATGCAATGTAATGCAATGTAATGTAATGCAATGTAATGCAATGTAATGTAATGCAATGTATTGTAATGCAATGCAATGTATTGTAATGCAATGCAATGCAATGTAATGCAATGTAACGTAATGCAATGTAATGTAACGTAATGCAATGTAATGTAATGCAATGTAATGCAATGTAATGTAATGCAATGTATTGTAATGCAATGCAATGCAATGTAATGTAATGTAATGCAATGTACCGTAATGCAATGTAATGTAATGTAATGCAATGTAATGCAATGTAATGTAATGCAATGTATTGTAATGCAATGCAATGTATTGTAATGCAATGCAATGCAATGTAATGTAATGCAATGTAACGTAATGCAATGTAATGTAATGTAATGCAATGTAACGCAATGCAATGTAATGTAATGTAATGCAATGTAACGTAATGCAATGTAATGTAATGCAATGTAACGTAATGCAATGTAATGCAATGTAATGTAATGCAATGTAACGTAATGCAATGTAATGTAATGTAATGCAATGTAACGTAATGCAATGTAATGCAATGCAATGTAACGTAATGCAATGTAACGTAATGCAATGTAATGCAATGTAATGTAATGCAATGTAACGTAATGCAATGTAATGCAATGTAATGTAATGTAATGCAATGTAACGTAATGCAATGTAATGTAATGTAATGCAATGTAATGCAATGTAATGTAATGTAATGCAATGTAATGTAATGCAATGTAATGTAATGCAATGTAATGTAATGTAATGTAATGCAATGTAATGCAATGTAATGTAATGTAATGCAATGTAATGTAATGCAATGTAACGTAATGCGATGTAATGCAATGTATTGTAATGCAATGTAATGTAATGTAATGCAATGTAATGTAATGTAATGCAGTGTAACGTAATGCAATGTAATGCAATGTAATGTAATGCAATGTAATGTAATGTAATGCAATGTAATGCAATGTAATGTGATGCAATGTAATGTAATGTAATGTAATGCAATGTAATGCAATGCAATGTAACGTAATGCAATGTAATGTAATGTAATGCAATGTAATGCAATGTAATGTAATGCAATGTATTGTAATGCAATGCAATGTATTGTAATGCAATGCAATGCAATGTAATGTAATGTAATGCAATGTAACGTAATGCAATGTAATGTAACGTAATGCAATGTAATGTAATGTAATGCAATGTAATGCAATGTAATGTAATGCAATGTATTGTAATGCAATGCAATGCAATGTAATGCAATGTAACGTAATGCAATGTAATGTAATGTAATGTAATGTAATGCAATGTAATGTAATGCAATGTAATGTAATGTAATGCAATGTAATGCAATGTAACGTAATGCAATGTAATGCAATGTAATGTAATGTAACGTTATGCAATGTAATGCAATGTAATGTAATGTAATGCAATGTAATGTAATGCAATGTAATGCAATGTAATGTAATGCAATGTAATGTAATGTAATGCAATGTAATGCAATGCAATGTAACGTAATGCAATGTAATGTAATGCAATGTAATGTAATGCAATGTAATGTAATGTAATGCAATGTAACGTAATGCAATGTAATGCAATGTAATGTAATGTAATGCAATGTAATGTAATGTAATGCAATGTAATGCAATGTAATGTAATGCAATGTAATGTAATGTAATGTAATGCAATGTAATGCAATGCAATGTAATGTAATGCAATGTAATGTAATGCAATGTAATGTAATGTAATGCAATGTAACGTAATGCAATGTAATGTAATGTAATGCAATGTAATGCAATGTAATGTAATGTAATGCAATGTAATGTAATGTAATGGAATGTAATGCAATGTAATGTAATGCAATGTAATGTAATGTAATGCAATGTAATGCAATGTAATGTAATGTAATGCAATGTAATGTAATGCAATGTAACGTAATGCGATGTAATGCAATGTATTGTAATGCAATGTAATGCAACGTAATGCAATGTAATGTAATGCAATGTAATGTAATGTAATGCAATGTAATGCAATGCAATGTAACGTAATGCAATGTAATGCAATGCAATGTAACGTCATGTAATGCAATGTAATGTAATGTAATGCAATGTAATGTAATGTAATGCAATGTAATGCAATGCAATGTAACGTAATGCAATGTAATGTAATGCAATGTAATGTAATGCAATGTAATGTAATGTAATGTAATGCAATGTAACCTAATGCAATGTAATGCAATGTAATGTAATGTAATGCAATGTTATAATGTAATGCAATGTAATGCAATGTAATGTAATGCAATGTAATGTAATGCAATGTAATGCAATGTAACGTAATGCAATGTAATGTAATGCAATGTAATGCAATGTAATGCAATGTAATGCAATGCAATGTAATGCAATGCAATGTAATGCAATGCAATGTAACGTCATGCAATGTAATGTAATGCAATGTAATGTAATGCAATGTAATGTAATGCAATGTAACGTAATGCAATGTAATGCAATGTAATGTAATGCAATGTAATGTAATGCAATGTAATGTAATGTAATGTAATGCAATGTAACCTAATGCAATGTAATGCAATGTAATGTAATGTAATGCAATGTTATAATGTAATGCAATGTAATGTAATGCAATGTAACGTAATGCAATGCAATGTAATGTAATGCAATGTAATGTAATGCAATGTAATGCAATGTAATGTAATGCAATGTAATGTAATACAATGTAACGTAATGCAATGTAATGTAATGTAATGCAATGTAATGTAATGCAATGCAATGTAATGCAATGTAATGTAATGCAATGCAATGTAATGCAATGTAATGTAATGCAATGTAATATAATGCAATGTAACGTAATGCAATGTAATGTAATGTAATGCAATGTAATGCAATGCAATGTAATGTAATGTAATGCAATGTAACGTAATGCAATGTAATGTAATGCAATGTAATGTAATGTAATGCAATGTAATGCAATGTAATGCAATGTAACGTAATGCAATGTAATGTAATGTAATGCAATGTAATGTAATGCAATGTAATGCAATGTAATGTAATGCAATGTAATGTAATGCAATGTAACGTAATGCAATGTAATGTCATGTAATGTAATGTAATGCAATGTAACGTAATGCAATGTAATGTAATGCAATGCAATGTAATGCTATGTAATGTAATGTAATGCAATGTAATGTAATGCAATGTAATGCAATGTAATGTAATGCAATGTAATGTAATGTAATGCAATGTAATGCAATGTAATGTAATGTAATGCAATGTAATGTAATGCAATGTAACGTAATGCGATGTAATGCAATGTATTGTAATGCCAATGGAATATGTAATGGTAATGCCAATGTAACGTAATGGGCAATGTCATGTAATGCAATGTATGCTATGTAATGTAATGTAATGCAATGTAATGTATGCAATGAATGCAATGTATGTAAGGCAATGTAAATGCTAATGTAATGTATGCCAATGTAATGCAATGTAATGAATGCAAATGTAATAGTGCATGTAACGTAATGCGTGTAATGCATGTATTGTAATGCAAGTATGTAATGTAGATGCAATTGTAATGTAATAATTGCAGTGTAACGTAATGCAATGTAATGCAATGTAATGTAATGCAATGTAATGTAATGTAATGCAATGTAATGCAATGTAATGTGATGCAATGTAATGTAATGTAATGTAATGTAACGTAATGCAATGTAATGTAATGTAATGCAATGTAATGCAATGTAATGTAATGCAATGTATTGTAATGCAATGCAATGTATTGTAATGCAATGCAATGCAATGTAATGCAATGTAACGTAATGCAATGTAATGTAACGTAATGCAATGTAATGTAATGTAATGCAATGTAATGCAATGTAATGTAATGCAATGTATTGTAATGCAATGCAATGCAATGTAATGTAATGCAATGTAACGTAATGCAATGTAATGCAATGTAATGCAATGTAATGCAATGTAAGGTAATGCAATGTAACGTAATGCAATGTAATGTAATGTAATGCAATGTAATGCAATGTAATGTAATGCAATGTAATGTAATGTAATGCAATGTAACGTTATGCAATGTAATGCAATGTAATGTAATGTAATGCAATGTAATGCAATGTAATGTAATGCAATGTAATGCAATGTAATGTAATGCAATGCAATGTAACGTAATGCAATGTAATGTAATGCAATGTAATGTAATGCAATGTAATGTAATGTAATGCAATGTAACTTAACGCAATGTAACGTAATGCAATGTAATGCAATGTAATGTAATGTAATGCAATGTAATGCAATGTAATGTAATGCAATGTAATGTAATGCAATGTAATGCAATGCAATGTAACGTAATGCAATGTAATGTAATGTAATGCAATGTAATGCAATGTAATGTAATGCAATGTAATGCAATGTAATGTAATGTAATGTAATGCAATGCAATGTAACGTAATGCAATGTAATGCAATGCAATGTAAAGTCATGCAATGTAATGTAATGCAATGTAATGTAATGCAATGTAATGTAATGCAATGTAATGTAATGCAATGTAACGTAATGCAATGTAATGTAATGTAATGCAATGTAATGTAATGTAATGTAACGTAATGCAATGTAATGTAATGTAATGCAATGTAATGTAATGTAATGCAATGTAATGCAATGTAATGTAATGCAATGTAATGTAATGCAATGTAACGTAATGCAATGTAATGTAATGTAATGCAATGTAATGTAATGTAATGCAATGTAATGCAATGTAACGTAATGCAATGTAATGTAATGTAATGCAATGTAATGTAATGCAATGTAATGCAATGTAACGTAATGCAATGTAATGTAATGTAATGCAATGTAATGTAATGCAATGTAATGTAATGTAACGTAATGCAATGTAATGTAATGCAATGCAATGTAATGTAATGCAATGTAATGTAATGCAATGTAACGTAATGCAATGTAATGTAATGTAATGCAATGTAATGTAATGCAATGTAATGTAATCTATATATATATATTTCTTGTTTCCATTTCCATTTCTTCCCATGCAATATCCCCATGAAATCACCTTCTGCAAATCGGATCCTTGGATCATCCAGATCAGATTGTCAGTGGTGAACGGGTCCCAGAAACTCCCTGGTTGCTGGGTTTTCCAGTTTACCATGAAAATCATCATTAAATCACCATTAAATCACCATGAAACCACCATTAAATCACCACAAGTGGACTATAACTCCATTGACGAACTACTAAGCAGGGTGGGCTATTGACAAACATCAAAAGTTGGTGTATAAACCCCATTAACTACAGTGATATCTGCTGATATTTCCATTGAATCCATTAAACAGTCCATTCTCAATCCCATTAAATCATCATCAAATCCCATGAAAAATCAGCATCCATGAAGAATCACCATGAAATCCCATGCTCAATCATCAAATCCCATGAAAATCACCACGATTTTCAGCCAGCCCGTGGCTGGAAATCACCATGAAATCCGTTGAGCGACTCCAGGCGGATGAGAACATCCTGGAGCTCCGTGGAGGGATCCACTGCAGTCACTTCTTCCGAAAGCTGCTCCAGAGCAAGGAGAACTTGGCTGCGACCTCAACCATTCAGGTTAGTGAATTATTATTATTTACCCATATATAGAATATTGATATGTATATATATATTGATAATGTTAACCAACCAGGATCAGATATGGAATAACTTACCCAGATATATGAATATATATATAATATATATATAATATATAAAATATATATATATATGGGAATGATGGTTAGTAGGGGTAACTATCCCCAAATGACCTCAACAATGTTTGGATTTCTTTGGAAATTCATGGGAAATCTGATGGAAACCCAGGGTTTTTCATATGGAAATCCCTATGTGTTGGAAAAGATCATGGTTGTCAAGGGATTTTTGTTTGTGTTCTATCATATAATCAAATAACATGCTAGTTTTATCTAGTTTTATGATTAAGAATCGTTTCTATGTATATACCATCTCTAGATACCACTATGGAAAAACGATTACAATTACAATTATAGATACTACATGAAAATACTATGAATATATGTGACATTATCAAGTTACGTGGCAAAATTTGCTTGTCATTCATAAGGTGAATCCAAACACCGTAGATGAGCAGTGGCTGCTAAACCCTATGATTCCATTTAATCCTGGTTGGTTAACATTATCAATACATTATATATATGGGTAAATAATAATAATAATTCACTAACCTGAAATAAAGTCATTTGGGGATAGTTACCCCTACTAACCATCATTCCCAGTGAGGGAGAACAGTGAGGTCGTGATGAAATTTACCCAGATGAATGGATTGATGGCCATCCCCGCGATATGGGTATACATTCCAACATTTGACGCGAAGCACATGGCATATGAAAATCATGGAAATATCGGTAAATCTGTCCATACTTAGATGGGCCATGGAGTTTATTTCTTGTGATTTTTATTTGGGGGTCAAACAAACCACTACAGCCCAGTTATAAGGGATATGATTCATATGATATAATCCTGAATTAAATCCACTTATGAACCAAATACATCCAATGACTCTAATTCTACTGTAATTCTATCTATAAGTCTCTTTACTTGTGGCATTTTTTACCTATAGTTCTTTACCCAAAAAAATATCGGGGAGTCCGACTGTCCGACTCACGAAATCTAAAAAAGACACTGGCTGAGCTGGCTACCAGGTATCGGTTACATGGGTTATATGGGGAATAAATATATAATTCTCGGTGATTGAAGCAGGGTTACTGACCTGTTTTTGACCCACCATCCTTTCTCGACATATAAGTATATCATAGTATATCTACATCCAAATATGGTGTTGATGCTTAGAATATTGTCAACAAAAAAGTATTTGATGGTTTAAATGCTTAATTTCACCAATCAACAATGGTACAAGTATATACAAGTATATTCTCTGATAATCAACCATGGCAATTGAGTCAATTGAGTGTTGTCGTTTTTGGGTACTTGGCGGCGTCTATACACTGAAAAGATCTACAGGTGGCTTTCGCGGCTTTTGCCAAAGCTTACTACTTACGTGACGCCTACACGGGATGGGTTTTACCGCGAATGGTGCCTTCGCGCTTATTGCGTTCTTTCAAAAAGCCTTCGCGCTTGCCTTCGCGTAATTTTTCGGCATGCATTATTCTTGCGGCTGTTGCTTGAACCTTTGATTCATTTCCTGTCAGAAGCTGACGAAGCAGAAGCAGAGGACGAGAAAAATTAAGAATTTGAGATTGCATCTGCCAGAGCAGCGGAAAGGCACCAAACCAGCAAAATTGTATGGGCTAAAACATGATCTAATATTCAGAAAGGCCTCTAGTTGGTGTTTCATGGTGATTTTCTGCCTTCGCGGGGGCCTTTGCGGAGAAGCCTCTTAGATCTGCAACAAAGACGTATCCGTATAGGTTTCACACTCCCCAAGGTAATGACGAAAATCTAACACTGACCACTAAAGAACTTCTGAATTGAATATGAATCGCAGGCTTGAGTTGCACTACGCATGTAAGCCCTATGCAAGTAGATGCCAGTTCCAATTTGCTATGGTAAACTCATGGTCACATGGTCTTTATATATTGGTTACATTTGAAGATGTCAAACATGTGGAAACACATCTGCATCACATAGCCTACGCTTGTGGCTTCGCGAAGCTATGCCCACCAGCAAGGCACTAATTGCGAAATCGCGGCACTCTTGTCCAAATCCCCGCATACCCCCAAAAATTTGTTGCTCAATGTTGCTCAATTGAACATCTAAACGGAGGTCTCTAGCTGGGAAAATCAACCTTTAAGTGGAGGTTTATAGCTGGGAACGTCAACTCTATGGTGGATTTTCCCATGGTAGATGACCTGACACCGACCTTGCTTCAGATTGTAGTCCAGCTTGATTCGCTCATCCAAAAAGGGAATCACCAGCTCTTTCTTCTGGTGTATGTTCCCAGCTACGTGCTCCTAGGCGCTCGGTCAAAATTGACGCCTAAAAAATCCCTTTGAGTTACCCTCTGGTAATGACTAACATAGCTATTGAAAATGACCATTTATAGTGGATTTTCCCATTCAAAATGGTGATTTTCCATAGTTATGTTAGTTTAGCAGAGGGCAAGGTGACTCGGTGACTCTGAGACCTCTGAGACGTGATCAGACATTGTCCGCTGAAAAATCCCATCTCTCCCCGTCCTTGTGTATCCTCCAGGCGCTCTTGATGAGATGCAATTCCCAAAGACAAAGCTCTCCTCGTTCCACCACCGCGCTGATGGCTGAATGCAATTCCTGGATTTCCTGACATCCAAATGATGGAGGCGCCCGAACATGAAAGGTTAACATTGCAAAAACGTAGGATATCTTGACTCAAGACCTTGACCATTTGACCCCTACTAGACTCAATGTCCGAAATAGTATATTATATATCCCATAGGATCCATGTATGCTATATATGGTAACATTTACCATCAATATACCCCCAATGTGAGCATATATACCATACATGGACAATACATGGATCCTATGGGTATATATATATATGTATATATAGTAGTCGAACCTCAAGGTTGCTTTTATCGAGTTGCTTGATCACTGTGGTTCCATCTTTGACCTTCGTCCTGTTCCGAAGTTTCCTGCCACCAAGCTTCGGCACGGATGGCGTTATTGGACATTAACCATTGATCCTTATGCAGAGGTCTTGATTGCCACAGCATCTCCTCTGGTTGGTGGTTGAGCCACCTACCCCTCTCAAAAATCATGGAGTGAACGTCAGTTGGGATGATTTTCCATTCCCAACCACCTTGAAAAATCATGGAGTTCGTCAATGGGAAGGTTGACATCCCAAAAAATAATGGAAAAAAATAAAAACTTCACCACCAAGCAGTCCTTGTCTGGGCCAAATTCGGCACTTTTCTGCCACTTTGGGTCCTTTGGGTCCAAGGGATTCACAGAATCGACGAACCCGTTGCAGCACTCCATGCCGCTGCCGGTGCCGTTACGGCCAAGTGGGCCGGAAGGGTTTAGGGGGCTGGAGCCGCTGCGAAGCCACAGGCAAAGCCTTGGGAAAAACAACATTGGGTGCTTCAAAACGGGATTCCCAAAATGGAGAATTACCCTCTGGTAATTTAACATAACTATGGAAAATCACCATTTTTAATGGGAAAATCCACTATTAATGGCCATTTTCAATAGCTATGTAAACGTTTACCAGAGGGTATGGACAATCCATTGATATAATCCTCGAATATCGCCAATGTGATATATTAGTTACTAGTTGGCTAGTTGTAGTGATAATCCATGAAAATCCCCAATTCATAACACCCGTGAGACAGCTGGAAGCACCTGGTGGAACAAGATCAGTGGTATTCTCTTCCTGAACCGGCCTGCCAAGCACAAAGAGCCCCAGTTGCAGGTTGGTTTGTGGTACATCATCTAACCATCTAACTAGTTGGCAATTGGATAGAATATGAATGAATATGAATATTATCATCTCTCCCTATAAGTTATTATATCATACTATATCTAGAGAATTGATATATCATAATCCCTATAAGTAACTAAAATAATATTATCAACATGGGGATATGGTTGCAGTTGTTCTATCATACTATATCTAGAAACTGCAACCATATCCCTGTTTGTTGATTGTTTTCAGATCCTTGGCGTAGTGAAACAAGACATAGCTAGCACTACCGACCATGGCGGCGTGCTGATGCCAAGAAACATCGACCACGGATGTGTCTGAGAATTCAAAAAACATCGATCTGGTTGGTGATGTAACCATCTTGAAAAATATGAGTTCGTCAATGGGAAGGATTATCCCATATATTATGGGATTTCATCTGATTCTGGTTGGTGGTTCCAACCTACCCCTCTGAAAAATGATGGAGTGAACGTCAGTTGGGATGATTTTCCATTCCCAACTGAATGGTTTTCTTCAAAATCCAGTCAAAATGGTTCCAGTCACCACCAACCAGATGATGAACATAATTCACCAGTATTAACCATTGATAATCCCTATATTCCCATATTAAATATCTATTGGAAATCCCATGGAAATTGGTTGGTGAAATCACCGGACACCCCCCACCGTCTTCCACGGCATGGATCACTCGGAAGAATCCGATAGAAGGCTTCAAGAAGATTCGCCTGTCGCTGAGAACTCACCGGTGGCGATTTCATCAACCACCAGTGGGAAATCATAGGAAAATGGCCCATAGAAATAGATGGTTTACCATGGTTTACCATGGTTTACCTACTAAAAATGGTGGAAATCATAGACAACAAGGGATTTACTGGTGATTTAATGGTGATTTAATGGTGGTTTACTGTGATTTAGTGGGATTTACTGGTAATTTAATGGGATTTACCCTCTGGTTCTGACTAACATTGCCATGGTGTAGATGGCCCATAGAAATAGATGGTTTACCTACTAAAAATGATGATTTTCCATGGCTATGTCAAATAACCAAATGGTAGTTCATCATGTATATAGTATACATGTATACAAATGTATGTCGATTTATGTATAATAATATATTATACTATGTATACTGTATATATTCGTATATATATATATATAAGTGATTGTTGGGTTGACCAACCTCTGGGTCAGTGGTGGAAACTGGAACCATTTTCGGCCAAGAATTGGAACTGCTTCAGAGGAGACAACCAAGCCCTTCTCCAACCACGCCCTTGGTTAAGAGGAACTCCCATAATGGATGGTGATAATTTTTGTTATATGGGAGTTTCTTGAAATGGGAGATCCCCAAGTCACCATAGGTTTCAATACTACTAAGTCATGGTCTAATGACTTGGATGATGCAAGGGGGTACCTCCCATGACTTGGGAAACCTCCATATTGGCTAGTATGTTTTTTCCATGTTTAATAAGCCACTGGCGTCTTGAACACTACTCATGGTAAAGTGGCGGCTTTCCACCAGTAGCACCGAGAGAGAAACAGTCTGTGGCCACAAATTGCATCAACCAGCCCCTAAAGTCCGAAAGATATTTGATCAAACATGCTCAACTTACTGGTGCTTAGTAGGGAATGGATGGGAATGGGGGAATGGGATTAATTATTATTGATAGTTATTGTGGATCATTCCCTCATTTCCTACGTTTAGCACAAGTAAGTCAAACATGCTCAAACATACTCTGAACAATATCCCCATATTTCCAACATATCTAACACATCTTCCAAATTGCATCAACCATTTATTTGACAACTTGCTGGTCAGATCGCGCGAGCCCTACGAATCTTTCATCTGTGATGTCTTGGATCCCGAAAACGCTCCGCTGCATCGAGGCCGCCTCGCTGGTCAGGAACTTCAAATCCTGGCGGGCGACCGGCCAGAAGTCTAGTAGCCCAAAGCTGGTTGTTTTTTTTTGCAACTGAATAGTACAGCAAGTTATGGATCTAGGGGTCCTCCAAACTAAGAAGATCTATGAAGATCTATGAAGATCTATGAAGATCTATGAAACATAACTTGGAGAAAAAATCTTCAAATGGATCTTCATATTATAACCACAAATTTTAGTAGGTCTATTATAACTTGGAGAAAAATCCATTAGACCTACCATAGATCTTGGACTTCCACAGTGGAACCAGTTCGGGTCCAAGCTCCACCAAAAACAACTCATGGTCCCGCTAGACGCCAAGTTCTATGTAACTTATCATGTTAGTCAAATCATATATATATAAACCATAATTTATCAACTCATAATACTCATAACATATCAAATCATATCATATAGCCTCTGGTAAACGTTTACATACCTATGGAAAGATCCACCCATTTTCAATGGGTAACTCAATAGCTATGTTAGTTTACCAGAGGGTATCATATCAAATCATGTCATACTCATCAAATCAATGACCGTCAACCTGGAACAGATTTACTGGAGCTACCGATTCCATATTTTTTCGGCCTATGTTTTAGGGCTAAATTTCAGGGAAGATCCCCAGAAAATACAACCTGATATGGTTCAGTAATTTTTCAGTACCTCCATGAACTGGGAACCTGAAAATCCCACTGATCAGTTCGTTTGCCAAGGCAAGGGTCCTTTCCCAACAGAACTCAACGCCCAACATGCTGCCTCAAGGGGTGGAGCAACCTCTGCCAGCTTTTGGGCCTTAAGCGATATGGCAAGTTATGGTCGAAACATGACGATTGGTCAAAGTTGGGTACCCAAAATAATTGGATGGTCAAAAACATGTGGTCCTCCAGGTTTTTGATTTTGACCCGGCCCACATGGGAGAGCTAACATGGTTTAAGCAACATTAAATGGAGATGTGTATGTATATATATATGTATATATATACATACATATATACATACATATTATATTGAATGTCATATGTGTATGTATTGTGATATTTACATATAGCATCAATTAACATCATATAACCAATATAGAATTAAACTACAATTCATGCATAGATCCAGTACAAAACCCGGGGATTCGTTTGGAATATCTTATATTTGGGGGACGGGATTATATGGGTTCTGGATAGCTTCCCATGATTGGGAATAATTACTCTATCTTTTCCATGATAATTCCTAATTCATGGCTGTGATGAACATTCATGGTTGTATGGTTAGTCAATGTTAGTCATCTATTGTGGTTAAAACAATGCCATAAACCCATAAACCATCCCCCAGTCATCACCATGTTTTGCTAGGTGGTATGGTTACCAGCATTCCTTGCAGCAAGGTATGCTTTGAACCAAAAAAAAAACAAAGATGACGATCTCCTCAAGGGGGAGCATCACGTTTTGACCGGTCAAACCGTTTTGTTTGGATTTAACGAAGAAAAACCATGGGCAGGAGAAAACCAATCATTAGTGAAGTGTCATATCATGCATTTTGGATTACTAAAAACCAAAGATGTTTCAAATACGATATTGATCTACAATGTGGGCCCCCCGTGAAATCGAAATCGCGTTCAGTTGGGGTTCACATAACTCCAATTTCACTATGGTTTATTATCCGCAAATATAACCATAGCATTCACTTTTTTGGTGAATCTAAACAACGTTCACATCACTGTGGGGGCCCTTGAAACGTGGCCATGGCTTGATTTTTGGATCACTGTGAGAATCTCAACTGGGAAAGCTGCATATACGATATATGATTGATATCGTGCTGATATATGGTTATATGATGTACTATATAATGGATATAAACAAAAATTGACTGTGGATATATGATATATATATGATGATTTATGGATATCTATACGTATTATATAATGTTATATGATGCTATGTATTATATACAATTTGAATATCCCCTATATATTTGTTCAATCTGCTTGGTATGTGGGATGACGCTTAAATCCTCAGGCCTTTTTTTAAAGAAACATGTTTCCAAGATAGTAGTTCGATGATGTTTCCCCTCATATTTGCCAGGTGCCCAACTGTTCGGCATCTTTTTGGAGGTTGCTATATGATGCTATATATATACATGCACACCTATCTATACCTATCTATCTCTATCTATCTATATATCTATCTGTACCTATCTATCTCTATCTATCTCTATCTATCTATATATATCTCTATCTATCTATATATCTATCTATACCTATCTATACCTATCTATACCTATCTATCTCTATCTATCTCTATCTATCTATATATCTATCTATACCTATGTATACCTATCTATCTCTATCTATCTCTATCTATCTATATATCTATCTATACCTATCTATATCTATCTCTATCTATCTCTATCTATCTATATATCTACCTATATCTACCTATACCTATCTATACCTATCTATACCTATCTATCTCTATCTATCTATACCTATCTATCTCTATCTATCTCTATCTATCTATATATCTATCTATACCTATCTATACCTATCTATCTCTATCTATCTCTATCTATCTATATATCTACCTATATCTACCTATACCTATCTATACCTATCTATCTCTATCTATCTATACCTATCTATCTCTATCTATCTATCTATACATATATATATATCTCTAGCCATGGTAGTGTTGCCGCATTGGATAAGTTGCCTTGGCCGAGCTTCCCTGCTGCTTTTGCCGCTGCCTTGGCCGTCCCTGCCGACTTCCTGCCATGGGTCAAGTGGGGATGACCAGCGCATCAATACGTTGGTCGGCTGCCGAAATATTCAACCGGAAATGGCCATTTTGACTAGTATTTATAGTATAATATGGAAATAGTATAATATAACTACATACATGGAAATAGTATGTTAACTACTATGATAAATTTAAATAGTATATAACTATATGGAAATAGTATAATTTACTATGTCTAGTATTTATAGTAACTACTATGATAAATGGTCGGTTTATAAACTATAAATACATATAAGTTAAATACTAGAAATACATAGTCAATACATTCAATACTAAATAACCAGAAATAGTAAATCTCCAGAAACATCCAACCCTCAATATCCAGAAATATGTACTCTTCACTCTTGAAAACGGACTTGGTCAAGTCAGAATCCTGGGATATGAGCAATGAAAGCTAAAAATGAGCAAACCATAAGTGGGTGTGCAAATTTATCACCACGAACAACGAAAATCCAACCATTGGTGCTGTGTGAATCTATGTTACTTGGGTAGTGTAGGTCTTGTCATATAACTCCAGCCCCAAGCTGATGAGAGAGTAAAGTGCCTCTTTGGAGCCATAACTTCTGCCGGCTGCTTGGCTGAGCCAAAAAGTTCATGCCGGTGTCAACTCATGTCGTGTTGCGGCTGTTGCGGCTGTTGCGGCCATGGAGGATATCACCTTAGCTTTTGCCATAATTTTGCAACCCGAAAAAAAAAGTTTCTATCGAAACATGAAACTTCTATTCAATTTTCAACCGAATATGTGTGTCCCAAAGTCCGAGACAGCTCCGCTCATGGACTGATAATCCATATGGAGACATTGGAACTTCCAACAGCAGATTCTCTCAAAAAACTTCTCTGCCCAGAGGATAAACATAGGCCATGATGAAGCAATCTCCTAGTGCCAGCTCCTTTTCCACCTGGTGGATTGCAATTTGTTCTATGTCTGAAAATGGGGTGCACCCTGCAGTTCATGGCTAATTGCATCTATTTACATATTTTAAAAAAAACTGGACCATGACAATTTTGAATTGTCGGGTTTTTCAGAGTTTTCGCCTCAATTCTCAGGCATTTTCAGACCAACCAGCTGTTGATTCCCTCGCATCCCCCATTGGAAGGAACTCAGAAACAACCCAAGGACGACAGCAACTCCTGTTTTTGTTCCAGGCGCGATGCTGTGTCGGTTCGATTGGTAGGCCCTATGTAAGCGCTGTCACAGCCCTGTATCCCCAGTTTTATCATGTTTTATCCCTATACGAGATGACCAAAGAATACCAAACACATGTTTGAAATTGAAACACATATGAAAAATCATGAAAAATCAACAAATGTCTTCTTGGAATCTCCCCTTCAATTCCCCCAGCCCAAGAAATTGATGGTGGTCCGACGTCCACAGCGCTCACCCAAAAACTCAGCCCGTCTGGGCTTCATGGAACTTCCGAATCAAAATGCTGTGGCAGAAATTGAGAAACCATGATTAAATAATCAATGACCTATGAATGTTTAATGATGATTCATGGTATATATATATATATATGTATATTGATATATATATATGATGATATGTATATGATGATATATATATATGGATATATTTAATGATGAAAATCCATATAAATCAATATCAACATAGTGTCCGCCATGGCCGTCTTGTCCTGCAATCGCCTGGCTGGAAAAAGCCAGGGTCAGGACCGGCGGCAGTCGGATTTGCCCTTTTCCAGATAGCAACACAATACATCCAGTCATAATGGTAATTGAACAATAATGGTTATTAATAACCCATAGGATCCATGTATGCGATATATATATATATATATGCTAACATGACTGGGGTATATTGATGGGATCCATGTTACCATATATATATATATATATGAGCAATCTCGAAAACCCTAGGTTCACGGAAAGGACATCCACAAATTTGGGAAGGTCCCATCGCTTACCACACGTTTGTACAATAATGATATATGGTAAACTTAGGGGGTAACGCTTGCAGGAAACTGCTACTTTTTTTGTATATAATTCACAGAAATCAACGTCCAATTTGGGTATCGCTAATGTGGATATTAGAGAAATACAATGACATAACCTTGAAAAGGGGTATCGCTAATTTGGGAAGGTCCCATCGCTTACCGTGGGGTTTTATTAATTTCCATCAATTTCCATAAACCAATGTCCGTCCAATACATATTTAGTATTGCCGGGGTTTTTGCGGTGGCTCATATATATATATATATATCATTATATATCCATATATAGCATACACGGATCCGTCATGGGGTATAGAAAGATATTCATGTATTACCCCAGCTTTATGATAGCAAAACCAGAAATTTTCCCAAGAAGATAGCCCAACAAGATAGACATATAATGTATATATATATATTATATATTATATTATATGACAATTGGTGCAAAGTGGGCAGGGTTGTTTCATGTTGTTTCTAGTCTCTACCATCCAAGCATTTGATCTTTCGAAAATACGTCAATATCCCAAAAATGTCCCAACATAGTTTTCTCATATTTGCATCAGAAGGTTGAAGATAATGTGAAACATCTCATTTGTGATATCCATGGAACCAACATCTCATGTTTCTCATTTGTGGCACAATTCGAAACGTCTTATCTTGTGAATCTTGTGCACTGGTCCGAAGATCGGAAGATCGATTTCGCACCGTTTTGTCCGGCTGTGGGGGGAATTTGTGCTGCGCAGCACATGAACCAAGCAATCGTCATCATGGCAAACTGTTGGTTCACCTTGTCGCGAAGGGTTCCCTTGCATCTTCATTCGAGCGAAACAATACGAAGGTTCCTGAGTCATGGGGGTACCCCAATAGCTGGATGGCTTATGATGGAAACTCCTATTACAATGGATGAGAAATGGGGATACCCCCCTTTTTAGGAAACCTCCATACTGGATCCAGTACTCAAAGCCAATCTGCAGAATTCTGTCGTGGATTTCTTCGATGTCGCGGGGATATTGGATTTGGAATATCCCGACCAGGCTGCCAGGCAAGTCGATGGGTTGATGGTCACTCGGTGGGGTTAGTACTGAGTCCAAAACAACATGCAATATGCACACAGCTCATCACAGCTCTGAATTCTCTGTGCATGGGCGTTGTGCCCTTTGTACCTAGAAGACAGATTCAAAAGCACCGTGGAAGCAACATGCAACAAAGGAAACTCCAGGGCTTTTTAAAGTGATGCCCCTGACATTTGTTGCAAGAAGTTGCAATGATGCAACATCTTTCTTGTCAAACAAAAACAACAACCTGCTACTTGGCCGTACCGGTGGCACAGTTGGGACTGTGCGGAACTGTGGAACACAAGTTTTCCTTTGTGCACTAAGGTGCTCCATTGCCTGAAAGGGCATAAACAATCAGACTTTTCAAAGCTCATAGGCCCCCCTCACTGGAGGACCAGTGGCTGAAAGAATTCCGCCAAACCTCAGGAATTGGAGATGTAGGGTTCGGAAGCATCGTGCTGATCAACATTAAGTTCACTTTTCTCCTGATATACCCTATGGTTATTTAACATAGCCATGGTATAGATGGCCCATAGAAATAGATGGTTTACCTATTAAAATTATTAAAAATTGGTGGATCTTTCCATGGCTATGTTAGTCATCACCAGATGGCAATATGCATCTTGAAATCGTGAAGATCCGTGGGCAGGATTTGTTCAGCCCCAGGGGCAGACATCCCCAGCAAAATGAACATCTCATTTCGACAGTTCCAAAATGTTCCACAAACAACCCATGGCATCGCATTGCATTCCATCCTCCATACATCCGTTTCCATTATCCTGAAAAAATATATCAGCCATTAATATCCATTGCCATTAAGACTACCTTTATAAATATTTATTAATCATGTTTAAACAGTATCACCCCCCTTTGATGGACACTTCCATCCTTTGGTGTCAAGATACCTTCATGCTGTGGCACCCAATGCGGAACCCGAGGCTGGTGATACTTGGCCAGGCGCTGGTTGGCTGCCAAGGCTTCCTCATAGGACCACGACTGCAACGCCCAGTCGTCTCCGAAAGTCTCCCCGTTATTGAGATCCGCCCCGTTCTCCTGATCCTGGAGCTGGCGGAACATCTGGCCATAAAGGAAACGACAATGACTGGTTAGTGGTTGAGCCACCGACCCCTCTGAAAAATATATGAGTCAGTTGGGATGATTTTCCATTCCCAACTGTTTCTGGGAAGTCATAATCCATTCATGTTCCAGTCACCACCAACCAATCGAATCTGATAGGCAAACAATGGTGGTGATGGGGTTTTCTGAAATCTTTAAAGATATTGACCGCAATCCCCGACCGGCGTTTGTGGGCTACAATAGTTGTTGCACCTGCTACATGAACAACTGAAAGCCCAAAAACTTAAGTTGACACGTGGACACGTTTCCGTTTGCTTCGCAAATTTGGATCATCCCCCATGACGGATCCATGGTGCTGCTATATATGGTGCTCCATGGATCCCATCAATATACCCCAGTCATGTTAGCATATGAACCAGCACCATGGATCCTATATGATCCGTCATGGGTTCTGGCTCCATGTTGCGCGAGCCGTCCAAGCGTCGAGTCGGGCTTCCAACATCTGAAGCCGCTGAGCGTCATTGGCTTCGGCCAAAGCACCTCATGTTTTGGCGAATCGCCACTTCTCAGCATCACCAGCTGAGCAGTATTGGTTATTAATAGGTTTCTCAGCTCATGGATTGTGATAATCCCACATATATTGGGTAGCATAACATAAAGATCAACCCTCACTAATCATCAGCCAGGGGTTTGGGAATCAACATGAATCAACCAAGGCACGCTCATCTTCTGCTTCCCAATACCAGTCGGGCATTGTGATGGTGAAAGGAAACATAATTTTGGAAGGCAATGGCCCCAGCAAGGAGCGTGTGCCAAATGGCCTCCAAAATGATTCGACAAACGGATCCCGTTTGAAAATTGGAGATCAATCTGTATCCCAGGCAAAATCTAAAACTTTGATTTGTTCCAAATTAAGTCATGGGAGGAAAATATGGGAAAATCGCTGGCAACTCTCTGTCTCAACCGCCTGCGCTCTTCATATTCCCCAGCTGTTTTCAACTGCTGCTGCACAGCAAGGAAAAGATCCTTGCGATAGACCTTGGCACATCTGACATCGATAGCACGACAGGACACTTTCCGGATCTTCTCAACAGCACTCCTGTGGCTTCAGCAGCACTGGCATCATGTCAATTGTTTGGTTCTTCCAAGAATAAATGACTATTATTGACTATTGACAAATTGAGTTTCCAAGTATCACAAGTTGCAGTTGATGCCAAACTTGTCAACTCGTCAAAACAAGCAAAACTGGTCCACCCACGTCCATCCAACCTCAAGACATCGTCAGAGTCAAATTCAAACGCCCAATAGAACAACTACACAACCCAGGATTGTGGTAGCAACCAAAAACATAGATTGTTGATTGATCGAACTTTTTTCAAAACATTTTAAAATTTAGAAAGGACTTCTGACATGAACCTCACGACATCATATACATCATCAAAGCCACACGTCCAGTGCGAGCAGCACGACGAGGCGGTGTAGATGGGGAACCTCGGTGATCCATGTTGATCCTGCGACATGTGCTTTTCTATGCTTAACACTTGATAGAACATGATATATAGAACAAATTAATCTGACACGTCTTGAAACAATGCAAAAATGCCACGTAGGAATGAAATGCAAATAAATACAGATCACAATTGAGATGTTTTTCTATCACAGACTTTCCTGGGTCTTGCGCACTTTCGGAAATTGAGGTTAGCATCGTGTCATTTTTTCCGCAGCCACTCATGTACCAGATGGCGTGACACGACCTGACGCATCTGCCAGGGCACCACTGCTTTCCTCAACAAAGCAAACCATCCGGGCACGGCCGCCGGGTCCACGTGAATCCTGAGAGGCCTGCTGGACATGAACGTGTAAGTGACCCGTCTCTCAAAAATGGCAATGGCTTTCCGAAATCCTGGTTTCATGTCGGACATGATGATGATGTACTGGAAATAAAGATTACGTTTGGACATTGGGGTGATAACTTCATATCGCTTCTGCATCAATCAGACACAACGCCAAAAAAAACGATGCGCATCATCTTGGATGTGTTTATAGAAGGAACCCCACCTAGAGGTTCCCCATTTATGGATTTCCAAATAGGTCATCCACTAACTATATATTATATAGTGATAAGATGTTATAACTATATAACAAACCAGTAAAAACCATAGTGAAATTGGAGTTATGTGAACCCCAACTGAACACGAGCGAGCTATCGATTTCACCGGGTCCCATGAGGTCCCACGAGGCTCCTCCTCCCACTTGAACTTCATTCGACTCCCCAGTGCCAGGTCACCAGATGTTATGCCCTCCTGGGCGCTGTGGAGCCCATGGCGCGGATGGACTTCGCCTTTTTTGGTGTTTGTTTTTGATGTGTTTCTTACCATATGAAGATCGATGGGCAATAACATATAGATACTAATACTAATTGGTGGGAAGGAATATTCCCATATATTGTGGAAAGTCATAAAATTCCTGTTCCAAAGCACCAACCACCATATCGTTGCATAGTGTTGCATCATCCTTCAACAGCTGGGATTTATGGATCTTCATCCACCCAAAAATGGTTGTTAGCATGTAGTTAGTTATATACTTTATCATATACTGTTGTAATGTAATTAAGTTATATAGTTATCACAAATAGATATAGATAATAGGCATTGATACATTTCAACAATTCTTTGACCGAGTCTGTCCCAAGTGCCTTTTATTCATGGGACCCCATCTCAAGCAAGATGCCAAATCCGAGAAGTGGAGAAACACATCTCCACGCCCGGAAGTGCTGGGCCAGTCATCTCTGGAAATGAAGCCGAAGCCTGCCGGACGGTGGAGCCACCCGGATGTGTTTTTGATCAACTCCTTCAGAAGCCAAGTGCTTCGGTGAATTGGACGACGTTCGGTGCTAATAGTATGGTGCTACTTCTTTTGATGTGTCGTTTGCATTACACCATATTACACCGTCCATGCCAAGCATTAAATTTTCTGCAACAAACACCAATCTCAGCCATAAATTTCATTTTTTTGCCAGGAAACAACCGCTATTTTTGGCCCCTGGCCGCTGGCCAGACTGCAACAGTGGAGGACGGGGTCACGCCTTTCCCGACGAAGAGGCGGCGAATGGTTCCGGTTGTCCATCCATCGGTGCCTCTGGGGATGATCATGGGGGTTTCCATAGTGGGACTATCCAAAAATCCTTGGTTTATTTCATGGGTTTTTTCCCATGAAAAATGATGAGAACTGGGAAAACCCCCCTTTTTTCCACTCAGGAAACCACCATATATACACACACACTGTTGTATATGAAATATGTGTACAAAGGGCATGCCATTGACTGAAGAAAAACTATGTTTCAAATGTGTCTCGCTGGTGTTGCATGTGTTTCCTGGAGAAATTGAACCACATCGGCAATTACAATCTCTCTCCGTCAGCTCAAAATCGTTGTTCAGTTGTTCAGAAACTTTCCTAAAATCAACCACCAGGAAAACACACATTTTCTCAGGACTTGTTACCAAGTTTCATTGCTGGCCCACAACACGTCGCTGAATGGGCTGAAATGACCCGGCATCCCTCGTTTCGCAGGTTTCGCCTGCAGGCTTCCGCGAAGCCAGAAGTTGTTGTCCATTTCCTCCTGAAGGCCACAAACCACTGCAACTCGCAACTAGCTATTTATGACTCTCTATTTATTTCAAATCCATTCATAGTTGTATATTTGTATGGTTTTAACATGATTTAATGTCCATAACATGTCATAAATTCTCATAAGTATCAGGATGTACTAACCAAAATGTCATGTTGTTACCACATTTCATCATTTCGTTGGCTCTATACAGGTCACGTCTGCCATCCGATGCCTGGGCCATGGAAGTGTGGGCCCTTGCCGTATCCTTTTCCCTTTCCCATCCTCGGTGTGCTGCTTCAGGGGTGGGATCTTTGGTTCCCCTGAAATTTAGGGCCAGGATGGGCCAGGGTAGAAACGATTCATCCGGGACGAAAATCGAGCTGTAGCATGGCCTATTTCCAGTACTCAGAGTCCGGGTAACTGGTCTGCCAAATGCCAAGCCACTGAAAATATGGCTGTCGTGCCCAGAAAGGGGCCATGCCGGGAGGACTTGTGACGGACACCAGGTTGCTAGTCTTTAGCACTTCTTGAGCAGTTGGCGGAATGCGACAACTTGCAGGGACATGATATAACCCCTTCCCCCTATTACAAAACCCCCAAATAATAAACACCAGCAGGAGTTTTCAATACCAGGGGGTATTGAGTATTAGGGTGCGAAACTTCCCCCTAATACTAAATTTATTTTAAACCGTAGTTAAAAAACCTAAAATTTTCTATTTCAAAATCGATTCTCTTTTGGAAAACTAATTAACATATTGCCAAAAATTGGATGTCGGAAATTCCCACATATTAAACTAAAACCTTAATTCAAAAACATGCATTTTCGACTGTAAAAAACCATACCTAACAAAAAAACACCCTGGTGTTGGCGAGTTTTTGTTACCAGTAGTTTCGCACAAGGCGGTGGCGGAAGTTTCAAAAAAAGGAACCTATAGGAGACGTTGGTTGTTGTGAATCATGGATGGCAGAGCGAATCCACTGATGGACCGACAGGTGGTTGGAGTTGTGTATTTTTGAATGGTTGCAATGGTTGCAGTGGTCACCTTACCACAGCTGCTGGATGTAGTGTGGCGTAGCGCAGTTGTAGTAGTAGTTGCAGTTGTAGCTGTAGTTGTAGTGTAGTGTAGTGGAGCTGTAGCTGTAATGTAGTGTAGTGTAGTGCCTTGTAGTGTAGTGTCATTAGTGTAGTGTAGTGTAGTGTAGTGTGATGTGGTATGGTGTGGTGTAGTGTAGCATAGTGAAATGTAGTGGTAGTTGTAGTTGCAGTTGCAGATGTAGTTGTAGTTGTTAGTGTAATTAGTGTAATTAGTGTAATCAGTGTAATTAGTGTAATTAGTGTAATTAGTGTAATTAGTGTAGTGCAGTGTAATTAGATGTAATGTAGTGTAATGTAATTAGTGTAGTGTAATGTAGCGTAGTATATTTGTATTTGTAGTTGTAGCAGTAGTGTTGTGTAGCGAAGTAGTAGTTCTAGTTGTAATTGTGTGTCTATCTATCTATCTACCTATCTATCTATCTATCTATCTACCTATCTATCTACCTATCTATCTACCTATCTACCTATCTACCTATCTACCTATCTACTATCTACCTATCTAGCTATCTACCTATCTACCTATCTATCTATCTATCTACCTATCTATCTAGCTATCTAGCTACCTAGCTATCTAGCTATCTAGCTATCTAGCTATCTAGCTATCTAGCTATCTAGCTATCTAGCTATCTATCTATCTATCTACCTATCTATCTACCTACCTATCTACCTATCTACCTATATACCTACCTATCTACCTATCTACCTATCTACCTGTCTACCTATCTACCTATCTACCTATCTACCTACCTACCTATCTACCTATCTACCTATCTATCTAGCTATCTAGCTATCTAGCTATCTAGCTATCTAGCTAACTAGCTATCTAGCTATCTGGCTATCTATCTATCTATCTATCGATCCATCCATCCATCCATCCATCCATCTATCTAATCTCTCTAATCTATCTAATCTATCTAATTATCTATCTATCTATCGATCGATCTATCTATCTATCTATCTGTCTATCTATCTACCTACCTATCTATCTATTTATATACCTATCTGTTTGTCTGCCTGTTTGTCTGTCTGTCTGTCGAACTGTAAGCTTGAAAAAGCAGCAATTCAGCGAGACGTCCTCAATTTCTGAACTTGACAACATCAAAAACGAAACAATTCTGCGAGACTGCCTCAATTTCCGAAGTTGACAACATCAGAAACGAAACAATTCTGCGAGACTTCCTTCAAAAATGGAAGGTTGAGTGCAGAGCTGACGGCCTCGTACCAATGCGGTTTGCGATTTTTTTCACTCCACCTTTCTAAAGCACTGTGCCTGCCACAAAAAATTGATGCCAGGTCATACGAAGTGCTGCGCCTGTCACGCAAAATCATCTTCCCAAAACTGAAGACCTGATGCTCCAAAATGCAACCAATCGCAGTCAGCGCCCGGACCTCCTAACAGCTCTGATGACCATGTCTCTTGTACTGCGCCTGCCACGGAAAATGCATCTTTGCAGATCCTCTTCAAATGCCCCACGCCTGCCATCGTTTTTGGACATGCTACCAAACCGTCACGTTTTGCTCACTTTTGACAATGTGCACAATCCCTTGCGCCTGCCACGCAAAACGACGCTTCAACGTCCAAAGTGGCGCGAACATGTGGTGCTTTTAACATGTTGACATCGAAATGTGCTTCGCGCCACAAGGGCGTGCACTTTTTTCGACATCTCAACTTCCAAAAGTGCTCCGAAGCTGGTGTGTTTTGTACATTTGGCTTCGAAATGTGCTTCACGCCACAACGGCGTGCAGTTTTTCGACATCTCAACTTCCAAAAGTGGTCGAGGCTGGTGTGGTTTTTACATTTTGACTTGGAAATGTGCTTCGCGCCACACCGGCGTGCAACTTTTAATCTCTCGTCTGGCCAGCTGGCTCCGCACCCGCCGCTTTAGCGAGCCTACTTTTCGACCCTCGGGAGCCACAAATCATTGGGAAAAACATGGAAAAAACAGGGTGTTTCGCGACTTTCCTACCTTTTCGGGCACCTGGATCTTCTTTCTTCGGAGACTTTCTCTTTTTGATCTTCTTTCTTCTTCTCTTCTCTTCTCTTCTCTGACTCTTCCCATCTCTGCTTTTCATCTTTCCATATTGTCGGAAGTTTGACTTCTAAACTTCATTCGATTAATTATCGGGTGAAACCCTCAAATGGGACCTTCATGTTTACATTGTTTTCTAAAGGGAGTCAATTAAAAAGTCAGATGTGCCAACTCCAAATTTCCCAAAATTGACAATGGACCCAAAATTTAAATATGTGGGGTAGGTTAAGTAGTAGGGGGAAGGGTTTAATTTCAATGTACTTGCTTGACAATCCCAAGTTTCCAAACAGTCAGCAATTGTTTTCCATAGCTTTCCCAAAGTTCCGGCATTTGCACCAAGACATGACGTGAAACATCTCCTGTCAAAAAAACAACCAACCATCTCATTGCGAGTATGAGGTGGCTGAACCCATCTTAAACATCAGAAAAATCACCATCATATTCAGTTGGTTGGTGGTATACCTACCCGACCTACCCCTCTGAAAAATATGAAAGTCAGTTGGGACCATTCTTTCCAATATATGGAAAAATAAAAAATGTTCCAAACCACCAACCAGCCATTATATTCAGTATATTGTTAGTAATCCTGCTGAGTGGAACCGTGGAACCTGCGACAAAAGGTGAACGGGCAGGTAAACGTTTCACCAGTACTAGTTGAAGTTCGCTGTTTCCAAAGACCAACGGGATCGTTCCCATAATTCTGAAAGTCATCACCCAGCACCTTTCTTTGCACACTCTGTTTGGTCTGTCCAGTTTTTATTTGGGTAAATCAATTTATGGCCATCAACCAATGAAACATGACGTGTTCCAAGGAGTCTGGGTGAATTACAATAGTTCGCTAACCTGAAATACGATCATCAATATAAGTAAGGTTATTTGGGACTTTGAAGATGATTCCACTAAGTATCAATCCAGTGAAGGAATTCTGGGGCCTTTTTACTCAATTTGTTGACCAGTCACCCATTTCCCGCGTGCCCCAGTGCCTGGATGGCTCCTCGCTTTTCAGGAGGCTATGCGTCAAACTTGGGTGCCCCAATCATTGGGTTGTTTTTTCTCAAAATGAATTAGAACCCTTGGTCCTCCAGGTGATTTTGACCCGGCCCACAGCAATCTATATATCTCATATATATATATAATGTAAAAAATAAAAACATATAAACAAATAAATAAATAAATAAATAAATATATATATACGTATGTCATGTCTATATACTGTGATTACAATATATTTAGATACAAACGCAGAGAGTGAATACGAATGAAAGCGGATATGTACCAATGGCATCTGCTTGGTGGTTTCATCTGCCAAAGTCAATGGAGATCATCATTGGGATAGAAAAAAAGTAATCACGACGAAGGTTTAACTATCAAACATGGGGAACAATGGTGGTGATTTAAAGCGTTTAACAATAGATCTATATATATATATTATATATTATATATATATATATTATATATATATATTATATATATTATATATATTATATATATATTATATATATATATATTTATTTTTATGGATTTGAATGCATCAACGGGTTGGTTTAAGGGAAAACCTACAGGAAACCACCATATTTCACCGGAGAATCCACGGTTTCTGGTAACACTTTTCCCTTAAACCAATCCAGGTTTATATTCCAAAGGTTGTCATATATGGTCCTCGGGGTCTGCTCCTGAAGGAACATCGAATACGTTGATCCTGAAGAAGGTTTACAAAGGGATCATATTTCAAAGCACCCGCGGAAAGGCATAAACGACAATTCTCATGATTGCTTCAAAAAGAATCGGATTGCAATCAAATTAAATACGGATTTGTTGGGGGAGGGTGCAGAAAATAAATCAATCGCCATTTTTGCAAACACGCAGGCACGCAAACATGGGCATCTGTGGCCCACTGCTGGCTGACCCACTTGCTTGACAAGGGCCAGCTGATGGATGTCCCTCACCAGCAACGTTGAGTGAAACTTCAAACACAAATACATTTAGGCCATCTCTATAGCTACTATATAGCTACTATAGGTAGATTATCTTCAACCTGAAGCATTTGGGTCCGGCAATTTGGTTGACATTTGGCTGACACATCCAATTGATTCTGTATGGTTCAGTTCCGACGTTAAAAAATAACCTCGGTGCCATGTTATCCTCATATGTTACGCGTCAATATTATATATATATATATACATACATACACGTTAAACCAACCGTGATACAAGGGTATACTATCTTTTCCCATCTTTCACCACCTGAAAACTGAAAACATCCTGAAACATCGTGCACCATGCATACAAGCATATGCCACCTTGTACCCCATTTTCAGACGTACCGTACCCCATTTTCAGACGTACTGGGACAGACTACATATGCACATATCTAAAACTTGGGACATCTAATGATGAATTAAAAACCATTTTCCTGCATCATTGCCCTTGGAGTCAGGAAAACCTTGGGAATTGTGCTGCTACCGGTTCTGGTGGATTGTGTGAGCACCAGCGCGGGCAAAATGCCCTGAACTTCCGGCAGATTCACCACCGCCTTGGCCGTTGCGATTCGCTGGGATCAACTTGGGTACTCCAAAAATTAGATGGTTTATATATATATATACACATACATAGACCTTTAATCCAAAGAAGTTTAGAAGTCAAACTTCCGACAATATGGACAGATGAAAAGCAGAGATGGGAAGAGTCAGAGAAGAGAAGAGAAGAGAAGAGAAGAAGAAAGAAGATCAAAAAGAGAAAGTCGTAGGAAAGTCGCGATACATTGTTTTTCCAATGATTTGAGGCTCCCGAGGGTCGAAAAGTAGGCTCCCTAAAGCGGCGGGTGCGGAGCCATCTGGCCAGATGAGAGATGAAAAAGTGCACGCCGTTGTGGCGCGAAGCACATTGCGAAGTCAAAATGTACAAAACACACCAGCTTCGGACCACTCTAAGTTGAGATGTTGAAAAAGTGCACGCCCTTGTGGTGCGAAGCACATTTCGATGTCAACATGTTAAAAGCACCACATGTTCGCGCCACTTTGGACGTTGAAGCGTCGTTTTGCGTGGTAGGCGCAAGGGATTGTGCACATTGTCAAACGTGAGCAAAACGTGATGAGGGTTTGGTAGCATTTCCAAAAACGATGGCAGGCGTGGGGCATTTGAAGAGGATCTGCAAAGACGCATTTTCCGTGGCAGGCGCAGTACAAGAGACATGGTCATCAGAGCTGTTAGGAGGTCCGGGCGCTGACTGCGATTGGTTGCATTTTGGAGCATCAGGTCTTCAGTTTTGGGAAGATGATTTTGCGTGACAGGCGCAGCACTCCGTATGACCTGGCATCACTTTTTCGTGGCAGGCGCACTACTTTAGACAGGTGGAGTGGCAAAATCGCAAAACGCATTGGTACGAGGCCATCAGCTCTGGACTCAACTTTCCATTTTTCAACAAAGTCTCTCAGAATTGTTTCGTTTTTGATGTTGTCAACTTCGGAAATTGAGGCAGTCTCGCAGAATTGTTTCGTTTTTGACGTTGCCAAGTTCAAAACTTCAAGAAGTCTCGCAGAACTGTTTCGTTTTTGACGTTGTCAAGTTCAAAAATTGAGGAACTCTCGCAGAATTGTTTCGTTTTTGATGTTGTCAAGTTCAGAAATTGAGGACGTCTCGCTGAATTGCTGCTTTTTCAAGCTTACAGTTCGACAGACAGACAGACAAACAGGCAGACAAACAGATAGGTATATAAATAGATAGATAGGTAGGTAGATAGATAGATAGATCGACAGACAGACAATTACACCTCCAACTACCACTACACCACGCAACACTACTGCTACAACTAGAAATGCCAATTTACTACACTACATTACACTGCACTAATGACACTACACTACGCAATTACATCTAAC